CTGTAATTAGTCTGTTTATTCTGGGAAATAAAACTGTAATGAACTTTTAATTACTAGAACTGCTGAAAAATGACACTGTTGCACACTGTTTGCACAGTCGCAGGCTGCTATAGATATGTAGCAGAGGCCGGGGAGCCAGCAGATGGACCATTTAGATTGGTAGTTCTAAATCCTGGTCCTTAAGTACCACCGCCCTGTGTGTTTTAGTGTTGTCCCTGCTCTACCACACCCAGGTGACCTCAGAAAGGGCTTGTTAATTAGTTCATCCGTTGTAGGACCAGGACTGAGAACCACAATGCAATTTCTCATATAGCTAATGAAACCCAGCTAAGATCAGTTTTTGTTGGTAACTAGTTTCATACGGTCAAAGCTGGTGTTTGATAACCATTATGTGATTGACCAGCTGAACATCCAGCTGGACTAGGCAAAAACAAAACCATATGCTAGTGACCTGCTTAAGCTGGGTAATGTGTTACACCAGCTTGGTAAGGCTTGTCATGCTGGTCGACCAACTTGGTCAAGGTGGTCAAGATGGAAATACTGGTAGACCAGCTAAACCAGCAAACTCAAACAAAAACATACCATAGCATGGTTATACTGGTCATGCTGGCTATAGCTGGCTTGGTCAAACTGGACAAAATATTAGACCAGCAAAACCATCAAACTGAAACAAATACAACCTGTGCTGTCCAACCAGTCATCTACCAGCTTAACCAGCTGGCCAAGCTGTTTTTACCATTAGGGAAAAAAGTCTCAGGACTACTTTTGCCCTCTGTACAATGTTGCAAACTCCAAGGTCTCTCTGTGCCAGACCACATGACACACATTCATATGAGATTCACGTATGATCCAGACACTCAATGGAAAAAAACACTGCATTTATTTAATTTCACATGAATAAAATATATTGGCTCACGTTAACACAGTTATTGCCAAAAGCAAGCCAACTGAAAAACAAACCAACACTTTAGACAATAACTGTAACAATTTAAGAGTTAATTCATCACTGAAGTCCACCGGAAAACTGGGCTCTGAATGCAAATGTGTACACTGGTTCTGTCTGAATGAAATATAATCAGTTGTATAGCATAAAAATAAGTATGCAAAAGTATTTAAACTGAAAGACAATAACTGTGTTGAGGTAATTAAATGTTTTTCATGTGGAACCAATGTACACATTTGAGTCTGGAACATTCAGTACACATTTTTAATCATGGCTCCTCAAATGTAAGAGAGAAAAGTCGTGTCGGTTCAGCAGCAGCATTATTTGATTTCACACTGCTGCATTCAGAGACTCTGAGACCTGAGCACGTTTACATCAGTTATATAGTGCATACAGAATTTTTACTGTAAAAGTGATTTAAATGAAAAAAGCCAGGAACCTGGATGGGTTAAATATTTAAATACATAAACTCTAAACAGAAAGTTTACTTAAAAAAAAACACATAAGATTATGTTACCTGAAAAATTGAGGGAATCTGAAAGTTAGCTTGACAGAAGAGGACTGGTAATGAAGTCTGAATCAGTGTTTATGGTGTATTTTTCCATCAACCCCTGCTATTCTCCGTAATTCCCAGTATTTTCCCCAGAGACTGAATCAGCCCCTGTGATGTAAAATTCTGGGAAGTTCAAATCAACTGTTCTTGTAATATTGCTTATTGTTAAGAGTTATTTCCATGCTTCATCATACTGTTTGATGTAAACACTTTTTCCTCATTGCTGTACAAAGTACTCACGGCTACTGAGGTGTGTTGGCGCCACCAAGAGGACATTACTCCACAGCACCATACAACATCGTTTGGTGTTCCTGTTTTCACATTAATTAACGAAAAAAATATTAATGTTCGTATCCTAGTAATCTAATAATTATTGGCGGTATATTCGACCCATGTGGGCTACAGTCTGGCCCAGAAGGTCAATGTGGAACAAATCTTCAAATAAACTTTTTTAACGCGTTTTTAACGCGATATAACTAAAATGACATGCTTCTGAGAACAATTTGCTCGTTGAAAAGGTTTACACCCACTTGCTTTTTCTTGCCAAGAGAAGCATTGTAATTAAGTTTGTGCGGAGCTCTATAAAAGCCTTTCACTCAGACAAAGTAGAGGATGCTCAGTGGCAGCGCGAAAGCGGCTGTCTTGCTGAAAAGCTTTCATCATCTTTTGTCTGAATAAGGTACTTTTGCCGTAATGGTGATAGTCTGAGGGCAAACAGCACTTTCAAGTGTAATAATGTAGTGGTGTTGAAAGCTGTCTACGAGGAGGAAAATTGAACAGGTTTATGAAACGCTCGTATCCGCGCTGCTAATGAATGTCAATAAACCGAGAAACAAAATGGCGCTGTGGTTGAAATTAAGGGGAAAAGTAATCGTTAATTCCCAGGTGTTGTGCTGCTTCCGCGAGTTTTCACAGCACAGTTAGACAACTTGTGTTTCTGTTCAGTATTTTCAGTTGCATTAAAGGCTTTTAAATGCTTTTAAATATGGACCAATAGGCCTTGACATGGACGAGTGGCTTGTTCAATGGCTGGGTCATTCCTGGGTGCTACTCATCTAACATTTACAAATGTGTATGTAAGGTAAAGGACATTTTAAATATAAGTAAAATGTTCTTAACAACAGCCTGTGTGCATGTTACAGATGTAACTTTAAACATTAATAAATCTACAGCTCTTGGATACCAGCATTTTGCCTGTCCTATGTGGAAATCTTATGTACAGCCATATATGTCCAAGTGTCAGGTATATTTCAAACTATGTGGTCATATATGTAGTGCAGAAATATAGAAGCATCAGATATTAACCATGCATAATATATGGATCATGCATATGCTGTCTGATACAAGCAGCCGAAGATTTTTTAAAAGCAATCAAAATGAAATAGCTAGCATAAATGAGTATTCCCTCCATGTATTACTGTTTTCTATCATAGTTTTCTACCAGGAACCAAAAGAAACTTTTAATGGTTTCTATGATTTTTTTCAGCAGAGATCTGAATAATACAGTCATTGATTTCCACTTTCTTGCCCCTCATCAGTGTCCACTCTAATGGACTATATAAAAAATATGCACGAGTGATTCCTCTCTTCCCAAAAGCCCAGTGTCTGTCATTGTCAGAAAGAGACATAGCATGGATTTAATAAAATGTGACATGTCAGAGAACACCCCCATCCCTGTGGATGAGACTCATTAAATATTCAGCTACATATCAGCCTCTCATCAATATTTAAACCCAGACCTAACCTACCTGCCAGGGTAGTGATAAGGAATGATTCTTAGCTGATGACCAGATTGCTAAGCTACTGTCCACACAAAATTGTTCTAGTCATAGCATTGAGTTGGAGGCCTAAACAGACACACACCCAAACACATATACGCTCTGTCTTGTGACCTTGTCGTGTCATGTGTCCCTCCAGCGTTAGACGAATGATGTGGTTGTTGAAAGGTTGGGTCATCTCTGCGTGCCGTGTTAACAGGCTGTTAGCAGGGTTCTGGGCCTGGCCTGAGCCATCTTTAACATTGACCGCTGGGTTGAGACTGACAACTTGACCCTGATTTAGGACTTACGTGCTGTGCATGTATTTCTGTGCATGTCAGTGTAATTTAGAATTATAATGTTGCATAAATCCCTGTTCATATATGCATTTATTATTTTGAAATAAGTTTCTACAAGTAACAGGCACTTTTTGGCAGTACAAATGTTAAGAAAAATGAATTTTAGTGTTTAGATTCTGTAATAAAAGTAACAAGCTGTACAAAAATTCAGATAATTAAAAAATGTAACTTGAATAGAATTTGTCTTTTCAGTGGCATTAGGTCTTTACTGCAATATTCCAAGCTGTTGCAGTAAGGACATTTACACTGCTTTTAGTATAAATAACAAAAGCATAGCCTGTTACATTAGCTTTTGCAGACAATATCTAATTTATTTGAATTTAACATGAATACGAAATAGTTTGAATTTGAAGTCATTTGGTCAGCATAACAACAACACAGAAAACACGTTATATACTTTCACATACATGTTATATTCATGTCCCACACGACTGCATAATAATAAGGATTTAACAAGGATTTAACATTTGTACAGTGCAATCACAAATGAGAATATGCCATTTTGTAATTCAGTATCTTACTATTATGCAGTCGTGTGGGACATGAATATAACATGTATGTGAAAGTATATAACGTGTTTTCTGTGTTCTTGCTAAAAACATAGCATATGTATCCATACATATGTCCAAAAATTCACTGCTGGGACCTAAAAGTGCCTGTAGTTACAGAAACCAAATATGACATAATACAACTGTACATACATAATGCTTATTCTAAACCCACTTTATGGAAATGTGAATATTTAAGGACAGGATGATAAACATGAAACAACACATACAAACCTCAAACTGAAATAGACTAATGCACAGTAGAAACATATTGTGGTCTGATTTAATAAATTTTTCAGATGAAAAAAATGGACATTGTCTTCTTTGGGCCAAAGAAGCAAAGGACTCTCCAAATTGTTACCAGCATAAAGTTCAAAAGTCAGGCTCTGTCATGGTATTGGGGGTGTATTAGTGCTCATGACATGGGTAACTTGCACATCTGTAAAGGCACCATTAACAGTATATACACATTTTGGAGTAACGTATGCTGCCTTCTAGACACAGTCATTATTAGGGATACCCTTATTTCAACAAAGGTATCTTATAAAGATACTATTAAGTATCTTTACACAAGGTATAGATGAAATATTTACAAAGAAAAATAAAATTATTAATGGATATCAGATGTACTCCATTATAAAATGACTCTTCTGTTTATATATCACCTTTTTACTATTATACATAATTGTAGGCCATTTCCTTTTCATATTTAGATCTAAAGGAGTGTAGATGATACTAGTTTGGGAAATGAACGGTTGGACAAAAGGACGGCATAATGTACACCACCACCTTATGTAAAGACATTAAAAATGAGGTCAAGAAATGGACTAAACTACTGTGTAAGTTTTTACGTATTTTATTAATAATGGTAAATTTGCCAAATATACACCCAGTATCATGAGTTCTTATTACATGTTATACATCTATTTTACAAAAGTTGTAGTAAGTTCCACTGATGAGGACAGGGGTGACTAGGCGCCTTCTGCTCACTTCGATCATTCCAGTAATGACCCAAAGCTGGAGTGGTTCATCCAAAACCAAAGCTTAATACAGTCAGATAACTGATCCATGCTTCACCCACAAATGCGTTTTTTTCGTAGCACCTGTAATGAGGTTCTAAGGGTCCGATACAACACTGGCAAAAATCCCATTAACCGCATGAAAAATTGTAAAGGAGGTTTTGGTCATATTATTCAAATTAATTCATTTCAAATTATATTTGAGACTACACTATTAGGAAGGATCCAAGTAGCATTTCCGTAGGCATACAAATGTAGTAAAATGACTAAAATATAGATATTTTAGCATAGTAACAGTTTGAACAACCAAATCTAAATTTCTTTCCCATGCCAATATTTTTGTTTCAAGAAATTATCTGCCCATACCAATAGATTGCAGATATCATCCCTAGCTACAATTTCTTATATTTGCTACAAAAGAATGCATTTGTGGGAGGAGTATGAATACATCAATAACAAAACACAAAGAACATTTGGATGCAGTAATAATAGTGGCTGTTGAGTCCTAGGTTTTATTTACCCCAACGCTGCCACTTCATGGCTTCATGGGTTAACCCATTACAGTAATTGGGATCAAAGAGACATTGGCCAATATTCAGACTCTACTGAAACTAGCCTGCATATTCCAGGAGACAGGACAGCAGAGAAAGGTTTAAGGATACATATCATATTCCATCATATTCAAATTTACCCTGACTCTTAGTAAGAATGCACATAGCAAAAATTCGTCTTATTTGTCACAGAAAAAAAATGAGATCAAAACCACTTGTTGAAAAACATGAGAATAAACTTGAAGAAATATTTAAGGTGTAAGATGCCCTTACAGTTAGTTCAAATTTACCTGTTTCATGGGCAAACTCCAGTCTAGAGTATCATTAAAGTGCCTTGAGCACCACCACAACTTCCAGTCAGGTGCAGTTAGAAACACATTAGCATTATAAAACATTATAAATCCAAAATAAAAGATCCAAAACAAATTTGAGAAGAATGCATTAGTTCACAGCAGAAGGGTTGATGCACATCGTTACATCATACAGTATTTCCACTTTCTTCAGTGCATGAAATAAAAAACTAAAATAAAATGGGCATTATGGTATAACATAACTACATTTACAACCAGCCCAAATACATATGGAATGCAAGCGAGATGCTTCACTGACCATGCTACATAGCAAACGCAGCTGGTTTTAACTGGCTGAAGACAGCCACGATATGGGACAGCCTGTTTGTTTCGAGTCTTTGCATACATCGTTGTCTTATCAAATGCTTTGAAGTTAACATGTTCCTGAGAGCTAGACAAGCCAGGGAATTACATACACAGGTAGTTTTGACTTTGCCCAAAGACATGCAATTCCATATGTTTTTTCCTTCTACGCTAGGCTTTCCTCTTCAGGGACAAACAGAGAGCTTCAAAGGGGGCTCAAATGAATGGGAATGTTAAAACAATTTCATAGCTAGCGGCAGTCTTTCAGCATAAGACAAAGTCATGAGACATACATACATATTTTGAAAAGCAATACATGAAATAAAACAATACTTTCCTGATTTCTTTAATAAACTGAGTAGGAACTAGGGCTGCCACTACTGTTTATGTAAGTATAAACAGCATAGCCTTTCAAATATTCCAAATGCACAAACATATCAATGGATGTGCCCATAAAGCTGTTTTTTTTACTGTAGGAGAGACCAGTTAGAGCAGCGTTTTCCAAACGATAGGATAGAGAAAAATATGGACCGTCTTGGGGGCCTGCGGACCGGTTTGGGAAACACTGAGTTAGAGAATTTAAAATCTGCCAATTAATCGCTGCCTATTCAGCAAGAAATTTAGTCGAATAATCAGTGACAGCCCTAGTAATAACTAAACAGTACTGAGATGAGTAATAAAGTACATGGAATTGTAAGTATGTGAGCGTGTACAGTGATAATGCACTTACAGTACTGTGCAAAATTCAGAGACCACCCTTCATTTATTTAAATTTCCTGTCAAAACAGCCACTGAGTACAAGTCTCCAAAACTGGAGGTTGAAAGATATAGAGAAAATGGCACTCCTCAAAACTGTCACAATCAGATAAACAGTACTTAAAGCTTTCATCATGGAGAGTTAGAAAAAAATGAAGCTCCACTCTTGCTTCAAATCTGAAAAAAATCCACAGGTATTGCTATCTATCTTTCCAAACTGAGAAGGCAACTGAATGCTCTGGGTTTGAAAGGATGTGCAGCTGTTATAGCTGTTACTAAGAAAAGGAAAGAGACAATAAAAATGCCAGTGAAAAAAATAAGCTGCTAGTGTTCTCAGGACAATGGACTGTGCAGAGTCCAGACCTCAATATCACTGAATGTGTTTGGGATTACTTTGACTGAGCAAAGCAGAAAATGCAACCAACTTCTAAGACTGAACTCAAAAACTGAAAGCAAGTCCGTTAAATATATTTTTTTGCTTTTTTTTTCCCTTAATGGAATAATAAATAAATGAAAAGTGGTCTTTAACGTTTGCAGTGTACTGTACATGAGATAAAACTTGCAATGCCCTATAGGTTTAAAAAAAGAGGTAAAAAGAATTCTTGCCAATATAAATACATTTCAAGTTGAGGACTGCTATTAAACAACATGCATGTATAAAAAGATAGAAAACGGTTATGGGCAAGGCTATGGTTAAGTTTGAATGTTAAAAAACAAAGAAAAATATGTAGCCAATGACTAATGAGGAACAAAACAAAAACGAAACAAAAATAATGACACATCTGAGATTGTTCTCTTGATTTTGAGAATAAATATAGTTCATTCGCTTGCAAGCATTCTCTCTCTCCCTCTCTCTCTCTCAGTCTATGGCTCTTTTTTATGATCAACATTCCTATGGTAGTTTCAGCCTCTCTTGTTGAAATCAATAGCATTGTTATGCTCAAAATAAAGCTTCCTTCTTTCCAATCACACTCAAGAAGACACTTTATCAGCTGATACAGCATTATTAAAAATGCACTCAAATCCTGCCAGAATGAATGAATATAAACTTAAGCAGATGTGTGAGCCATCGGTCACTCTTCAGCAATAGATGGCATTCTGTCAGCCTTCGCAGGCACTCAATCATGACAAGGGGGGCAGATCGTCAATGGACTGAACGATTTCTAAACCTCAATAAAGATTTCCACTCCCGTTCTATTTGCTTGTCATTGTCATCACGCCTCTGCATATTGCATCGGTAAGCACAAAACATAATTCGTATCCTATTTACATGGGGAAATTTTGTGTAGGTTTAGATCAAAAATCACAAAGTTCAGAAATCACAAAACGTCACTGACAGGCAGGGTTAATTTTGGCAGCGAATATTAAAGAAATATTGACAAATATGTACTCGTAAAACCTTATTCCTACTGAACAAAGTCACTTAAAACAATGTTACATCTATTAAAATAATAACATGAAAAACAAATACCTTGTGTCATATCTGCAAATACGAGCCAAATATATGTAGTTGCGCACTGAAGCAAAACAGAGAGAGTGTTAAGACAGTGTCTAAGGTGTCTTAGATACATTTCTCCTTTTTCTGGGATGAATATCAGTTTACCTGAGTAAAATACAGAAACTGTATGTGGCTGTTAAAAGGACCAAGCACATGTATATCAGACAAAGGTTTTGCTAGTCCAGGTAGTGCAGAATAGAGGGCTTGGAAGGGGAAGAAGTTTGTGAGTAGCTACATCTCCCCCCCCTTTATGAACCTCAGAGCATTCATCTAGGACAGTGGTCTTCAAACCCTGCACAGTTTGAGGTATTCCCTGCCCCAACACACTTGACTTCTAAAAGACCCACTTTAAAAATGTCATGACTTCAATGAAAGCAGATTTTTATATTTACCTGAAGTATGGTGCAACCGTGAAAGCGTTGAGCAAGTGTTCTTTTAATTTGAACTACCCGCACTTCAGCAGAAGTTGCTAAAATAGCAACTGCTGCTAAAGCAACAAGCCCCGTTGCTAAAGTGACACACTTTATCAAACTACCTAACCTGGAATCAGCTTGCACCTTTAATAGAACAAATTTACATAAACTGATAAAAGCCAATTCTGATAAATATGGGCTAATGTTGCTAAAAGTAACAATCTGGTGACTTCACGTCAAGCATGTTACTAAGAAAATTAACACTAAAGGACTCATTACCACGTAACCTCATTGTAACCTACTGTCAATCTGAATTTGGACATTCGTACCATAAATAACAACATAATTTAAAAACAAATCTCATTAGAACAGAAAATAAAATTGCATATTTTTCCTATTTTTTTCATAGATTTTACTGTAATCCTTTTTTTATCTTGGATTTTTTTAATGTACAGATTTACTAGGTCATTGGTTCTCAAATTCAGTCATTAAGGACCCAAACAGTCCATATTTTTACTCTGTCCTTATGTGTTGGGAGTTGGGATCATGTAAAAATGTGGACCATTGGTGGGGGGGGGGCAAGGACCAGTTTAAGAACCACCGCTGTAGGTCTACCAACACTGTGGGAACCATAAGAATACTTGAAACTGTGCAGGGCAGTGGGGTACTCAAGAAGTGGAATTGAGAACCACTGCTCTAGGATGAGATGAGCATCTCTATGGATGAAAGTGTAAGAAGAACCTTTCAGTTCTCTAGGATCTCCTGGAGCACCTTCAGTAGGTTCCTCAGGCCATAGATGTAGCCGTGGTCCTGGACCTCACTTGGGAAAACATGGGCAAAGTCTATCATCCTCACCTCCACATCTGCAGCTGACAGGTCAGCTTCTCCTGGCTTGTCCTGACCTTTGGCTTCCAGCTGAATTGGGCTGCGGTTGCCGTTGGGCTGCCACTTGCTGTTGTCCTGTTTGGCCTGGTGATGGCTACTGGTGCAGCCCTTCTTGTGCAGGGAGTACATGGTGGAGAGGCTCTGGTCGATGTTGTTGTTGTACTCCAGCACTCCGTCAATCTTCTCAAGGGTCCGAGCTGTGGTCTTCTCTTCTGGGCTGAGCATACGGGGGCTGGCGGAGGGAACCCCGTCATATACAAAGAGCAAAGAGCTTGCATAAAAGTTCAGCTGGCTCTGGCCCTCAAACCAAAGGAGGATCTTCTGGACTTTTATGATGCTGGCAGTGATGGCGTCTTTGCGGAGAACATCTCCATTGAAGAAGAACTTGGATAATCCTGTAAGAAAGAAAGGAAGTTGCTTATGGCTGGTACCTGTATGCAAAAAACACCAAACATTACAGTGTAGCCGCAAAGCAGCCCCTGGCTGGAAGGACTGGTTCTGCCAGGTGGTCATGGTTAGAAAAACTGTGTATCCTTAGTGTCTGCTGAGCTGTATAATAACCAGAGTGAAGGATTTCATTCAATCCTGTTGGGCTGATTGAATGCCACTGCCGTGAGGCACCAGTAGACCATAGCAAAAGGAGAATCTGAGACAACTCTACAAGATCATTGTTACTGCCTATGTCTAACAAACAGGAATGGATGTGTAGACCATAGTGGGAACTAAAATATATATACAGTACTGGTCAAAATGTGGAATTTTTCAGGTGATTTCAGATGTTTTCTTAAATATTTTAGCAATTACTTGAATATTACAAGTAGATGTTAAATGATAAATAACACACTTTGGTTATCTTTTTATCACAACTTCTTGTCAAGTAGTCTGCCTCAATTCATTCCATTCTAACTTAATTATAAATGCAACGTTTGCCATTATAATTATAAATGCAACTTTCTTAATTATTATATAAGAACCTAGACCTATATTAAGCATCAATCTGCACACATATAAAATTGACATGCTACACATTATTTGGCACCTATGAAGTACTAGCAACATATCAGGACCATTATATATGTGTAACTTCAACAAAATTGGTTTTAGACTATACTGAAAACAGTTTTCCACCCTCAAAGTTTACATCATACCGTCTTTGATGGTCTCCTTCACAAGACCTCTTCCATAATGCTGATCATATGAGTCGAAGCTGTCCGAGCCCACGTTGTACACCTGGGTGACAGACAATAAATGAGAACAGAGCATATGTGACACTAAATTGTTTCATTTGTCTCCCTCTGGTGGAGGCAAGAGGCCATAAAACTAATTACAGCAGATGAAATTAATAATCAGGGAGCAGAGAAAATTGAATTCCAGTTTAACGTTTGGGAACAAGACAGCCAATTTAATATTGATGCCGTGTAAAGTCTCAGTCTATTTTGAGAGGGGGCATAAATTCCAGCCTCTATCACCCGAATCAGCAGCATAATTATCAGTAATGGCTCATTTTGCTCCATGGTTACTGAGATAGGTCTTGTACAGCTGAAGCGTCCCTTTTTCCATGCTGGCTGCCAGAGATCCAAACCCCTTGGGACAGACTAAGCCTTTCAAATGTACTCATACACGGTGCTATCTGTCCTGCCGTCCCACACGTCCCCTTTGTACTGTCACCAAATTATAAATATTTTTGGCTCACGATCCAAGTATCTGTAACCAAATGCAATTTTCCTGAAGACTGACTTTGCCATTAGAGCTCTCTTTCCTCTTAAGATGTAGTGCGATACTGATTATGTTGTCCAAGTGTCCAGTGGTCAAAATCAGACAGTTTTCATGCTTAGAGAATGACAGTACTCACAAAGAGGTCAAAATAGCTTGCCACTGCCCTAAACCCGGTGTCAGGCTGTTGCCTGTGTAAATAAACAATATTACCAAACAAACGTGGCCCGTCAGACAGGATCTGTAGCTTGAAGTAAGGGTAAGCAATATGGCAACAATATGACATCACAATATTTGACGTCATTTAAATAATACACAATATGCATCAAGACATTTTGTTTCTCTTAGGTTTGCGAATATACTGGAATGGACAAAACACACCAGCAGAACAGAAGTCCCACATGTACAAAAAAAAGTCTATGAAAAACTAGAAGGAAATCAAACAATCTGTATAAAAAGTATAAAAAATGTCAGTGGGCTGATATTCAATTAACTACATTTTATTATTCAGTTCATGCAGTTGCTGTATACTGGTTATTGTTTATTGACTCTCTTTAATTGGTCTACAATAGGCCTGTTACAGTTATTACGTAAACATCTGATCACAATTATCTGAGCTGACCACAGTCATTTTCCACTGTAGTGAGCTTTCCTAGTCCTATGCTCATGCCACAACAAACACAATTTAATTAGGTGCATGGTCATCATTTGGGACACATCATGGATCTTATAAAAACTACAAAAGTTCTGACTTGGTGCTATAACACCTTTAAAGGGCAGTGGTGAGTAATGTTTGTTTACTTGAGCTTGAACTGTTTGTCGTTCGTATAGGAGCTACTATTGCTGCATTCAAGTAGTGCCAGAAACTGGAAAATACCATTTTTCCCCACTTGTAAATTGCGTTCGAACGGCATACAAAGTCGTATTTACAATCAAACTAGGGATTCTAGATGACACACGAGTTTACGAAATGTGATGTATAATGTGACTTTCCGTCTTTTACGCAATAAACTTGCAGTGCAAAAAACATATACACCTAACGCGCGACTATTAGATCTGTGTGCTTTTTAACACAGCAAAGAAAAAGCAGGATTGTGTTCTCCGGTCCCCCATGCTTTCTTTTTACACAGAGTGGCCGTATCTATGAACAAGCACTCGAACGGTGTGAAGTCGTATTTCCTAGTAAGCCATTTGGTATATACAACCTTTTAACGCGCACCGGACCGCAGCGCAAGTATTGACAGCTATTCAGACAATTTGCCGCTTTTAGGCTTATACTTTAATACAATTAATTACTTTCAAAAATAAAATAATAGTTGAATGGTTAGTTATGCTTAAGTAGCAATTAAAAGAATGGTTCCACAGAAACACAGGAGCTAAAAGGCTCATGTTAAAAACAAACACTAGTCAATAATCACCAAAATCTAATCTAAATAAATCCCCAAAACCTCTCTCAACCAGCTTAAACCGCACACAGGTGTTTATCGAAGTTGTGCATGTTTGTCAATAGGGTTAAGAGCACAGTTGAGAGAAGTTCTGGGGATGTATTTACAGAAACTATTTGGGTCAACTACTGACTAAAGAAGCAAAATTTGGACACTAAACATTTTTTGCTGATCCCTTCTTATAATTGTCAGCTAAACAGGCCTAGACTAAATATGCCTTCTTCATAATGCATGCAAATGTTCAGTTACTGATGATATCAATGATATACTCAGAAAAGCATACTGTGACATACTGCCCACCCTTAACTAGAAGCACGTTTCCTCTTAAGACAGCTCAGGTTCTGCATGACTGCAAGCGCTGTTGTGTAAACCTCTTGATGAGCTGGAGATAGGGGAGTAAGGTGGAGCCCCCAGCGATGGAGGAAGACTCTGGGGAGGTGAGTAATGCTGAGGAGTTAATGAGAGAAGTCTCTCAGACCTCATTGACTGATAAGCTCATCCTGTCTGACTGATAACACAGGCATCCAGCTTCCTTCTCAAACACACAGTACTGAGCAACATTCAACAAATTCCTAGAGCTACTCGTACTGCCTTACAATGATAACCAGCAGACACACTGTTCTAGCCATGGCATTTGACGTACAAGGATAAAAACTCTGTTCCCAAATGATGTATCATTTATTGTCCTATTTGCATCTGTTAAAAAGATCACAAACTGAGAGATAAATTGTATGAACTGAACGTTATGTAACAAAGCTGTTGCTGAATTTTTATTCTATTGTATAAGGAGAATAAAAAAATACAATATATTTTTAACTGATTCTACTCAATATCATCTTAACTACGTGTAGGACCACTACAAGCAAAATAAATTGTAATATGAATAAATTAACACTGGAGCCAGTCATGATCAAGAAATTGTAGCTGACTGTTGCTGTATAAACAACTGTAATTAACAATTTGTCTTTTTGTTGATTGTACACGACTGTTAAAATGCTAAATTAAAGTGGGCAAGTTAAGTTGGCTGATCTTGTTTCCCAGCTTTCGATACTTAGCAGTTCCCAACTGATGCCAGTACGGGTAATTGGGAGAGTCGGGATAATTCCCAGTGGGCCGGGTGCACTTTGGGCCAGTTACTGTCAGCTAATGTATAAACTAAGGCGTATAAGCACAAGGACGCTCAGAAAAACCACAAATGTTACATCGAAGTGTATATCTGTAGTAATATAGGAGTTAAACCAAGGGACCCCACCTCAAGTGGTACAGCCCTGGTTTGTAAATGGGTCTCATACAATGGAGAGAGATTAGATAAAGCTGAAATTACTTGCTTGTTTTCACCTTAAATTATGTAGCAGTTACATTCAGATGCCAATCTGAATAAGAAGCTAACATCAGCCTTAAGAGATTAGTGCATCAAATTCAACACAATGGTTTGAATCTGGTACTGGCTGACAACAGACAAGGCTCTCCAGAGTTTCTTACTATTTTTTGCATTAGATGGACATCAGTGGTAAGAACTACAAGGTAGAACCAAGAGGACAAGAATGTAAAAGCCACTTAAGAAGGATGAGGACATATGCGAGCAGGTGGACAGTGAAACTGCTCACCTGAACTTACTCAGCTAGCATTAATTTGTAGCTCATTGAGTGCATTTGCACGCACTTAATAATCAAATTTTCTGCAGTTACCCGATTATTCAAATGATCATGGAAAGAGCATACCCTGATTTATTACATCACATTAAGGCAGTTTTCGGATGTCTAGAAATCTGCTAAAGAGAGCTGGATTTTTAGTATACCCTTATTCTGATTTCTTTCATTTTTTTCAGTCCATGTACAGTGAAAACAGCAAGCTGTCTGGGGAAAAAGCATTTAGTTATCTCAGTGTAGCATATAAATAATAAGTAAGAGCAAAAAAATAAAAGATGAAAATGTGCAGATTTTAGAAAAAGTAATTTTGCACAAAGGCAATACTGTGGCTAATAATTGCCACCAGGTAAATTACATAATGAGTGTGACAAGAATAAATGAGGGCCTCCTATATCCAATTTCTGCAAGTACTGGTTTTGGTAGTACTTCTGCCCATTAATATCTTTACTGATCTTCAGTAAATATAGTCATAAAGACACTCTCATATGTGAATTTCTCATTACAAACACATGTATGCAGCTTTCAACAGCACTGAGTTTGTGAACGAGAGTAGATGCAAAGTAAAAAAAAATATATAACTCGACAGCCCCACAGCATCATTATGAAAGCAGCATGTCTGAATGCTTAGAGCTTGATGTCTTGAGTATACATCATCAATAATAAATGAACTATCGTTCTAAAGTATGGTTTCTACCAAACCGCAGATCTGCAATCCAGTGCAATAACAGGACCATTAAAGGTGCATATAAATACATCCATCTAGTTCTGTATGAGCCTTTCTGGGTTGTTTAGTGAGGCAAGCCCACCAGGTCGTCACAACGGTAGCCAGACACACCAAACAAAATTACTGATGGTTTATGATGGACTGTCACAATATAAGGCGACATGTTTGGGCAGAGTCTGATTTACATCTCTTATCCATTTTTCCACTCTTCTACAGGACAGATCTGTCCTGTGAGGCGAAGAGGAAAGGCTGATAAGGAGCTCAATTTTGCTGTTTATTTGCAGAGGCTGACGATTCTGTGAGAAAAAGTGTACACCGCCCATCAAACGTTTTGGGGCTCCTTGCTTAGTTTGGAAATTTGAGTAATTTCTGACTTTTTTTTTTCAATTAAGTCTGAAAAATATCAGCAGAGGGTATGTTAACATAAAATGGTTACTCACTAATAGTTTGGATATATTTTACAGCATTCAAGCTTCAGTGTCATTCTTGCTAAGAAGAGCAGGTTTTGCCTTAATAATAAGTAGACAATTTTCTTTTACACACTTTTGTTAAAATCACATATTGATAATCTCTTGGCCCAGAGGTTGTTTAAACAGCTGAAAGGTTTGACTGGTGAAGAGTGCTAACATCACAATAAGGGGATAAAATGTGTAGGCTTTGGCATTGCTCCCAAGATTGGGCTTTTGTAAGTTCTTGTAAGCAAATCAACAAAGAAAGCCTGCTCATTCATTTAAAAGTAAAAAGGTGTCTGCATACCCTGACCAATTTATCAGCATTTTATCTCTTCGATTGAAATAACACATCGCATCTAGTGCTTGCTCCACCAGCCACACTCAAGCTACTCTCTCATTAGACTAAATAGCAACTCAGCTGGAGTGCAAACTATGGTGGCAATTAGAAAAACACAGTTCTACAAAAAATGGACCTGTTGCATGCATTAACTGCATGGCAATTAAATTATCAAGCTCTCCAGAAACGACCTCTGCCTGTGTTTGTCAATTCCAGTCCTGCACTGCATAGTTTACTGCTTCACCTGCACACCTGCAGGGAAATATATGACCCATGCCATGAGCTAAATCTTAATGAATTAAAGAAATTTAGTTTACATGACTTTTACAACCCCAATTCCAAAAAGTTGGGACACTGTGTAAAATGTAAATAAATGGAAATAAAAACAGAATGCAATGATCTCATAGACCCATATTTTATTCACAATAGAACACAGAACACCTCAGATGTCGAAAGTGAGACATTTAACCATTTCATAAAAAACATAAACTCATTTCGAACTTGATGGCAGCAATGCATCTCAAAAAAGTTGGGACAGAGGCAACAAAAGGCTGGAAAAGTAAGTGGTACTAATAAAAAACAGCTGGAGGAGCAACTAACTCAGGTGACTGGGTATAAAAAGAGCATTTTTTGAGAGGCAGAGTCTCTCAGAGGCAAAGATGGGCAGAGGTTCACCAAACTGCGAAAAACTGTTCAATTTCAGAAAAATGTTCCTCGACGTAAAATCGCGAAGACTTTGGATATCAAAATACATCATATCATCAAAAGATTCAGAGAGTCTGGAGAAATTTGTGTACGCAGGGGACAAGGCAGATAGTCAATATTGGATGCTTGTGATCTTCGGGCCCTCAGGCGGCACTGCATTAAAAACAGGCATGATTCTGTACTGGAAATCACTCCTTGGGCTCAGGAACACTTCCAGAAATCCTTTTCTGTGAACACAGTTCGCTGTGCACAAATGCAAGTTAAAGCTGTATCATGCAAAGAAGAAGCCATATGTCAACACGATCCAGAAACGCCACCTTCATCTCTGGGCCACAGCTCATTTAAAATGGACTGAGGCAAAATGGAAAACTGTTCTGTGGTCAGATGAATCAAAATTTGAAATTCTTTTTTGAAAACCACAGACGCCATGTCCTGCAGACTCAAGAGGAGAGGGACCATCCAGCTTGTTATCAGCACACAGTTCAAAAGCCTGCATCTCTGATGGTATATGGAGTTGCATTAGTGCCTATGGCGTGGGCAGCTTACACATCTGGAAAGACATCAATGCTGAACAGTATACAGAGGTTTTAGAACAACATATGCTCCCATCCAGACAATGTCTCTTTCAGGGAAGGCCTTGCATATTTCATCAAGATAGTGCTAAACTACAAACCACCTTTCCCCAATAGAAAACATTTGGCTCATCATGAAATGAAAAATCCAGCAAAGAAGATCCAGGACTGTTGAGCAGCTAGAATCCTACATCAGACAAGAATGGGACAACATTCCTCTCCCAAAACTCCAGCAATTGGTCTCCTCACTTCCCAGACATTTACAGACTGTTGTTAAAAGAAGAGGGGATACTACACAATGGTAGACATGGCCCTGTCCCAACTTTTTTGAGATGCGTTGCTGTCATCAAGTTTTAAATGAGTTAATGTTTTTCATAAAACGGTAAAATATCTCACTCTTAACATCTGATATGTGTTCTGTGTTCTATTGTGAATAAAATATGGGTCTATGAGATTTGCAAATCATTGCATTCTGTTCATATTTACTTTTATTTACATTTTACACAGCATCCCAACTTTTTTGGAAATGGGGTTGTATAACAAAAGCCTTTCATCAACCAAGACAGTTTTATTTAGAAATTTTCCTCTTTGGTTTTGATGGAGCTACAAGGCTAATATAAAGTCAGGCCCATAAATATTTGGACATCACCAGCAAGCCTAAAATCAAGGACATGACCTATCAAAATAACAGTTATAAAATGGATAGTACCAGTTATGATTGGCTGAGCCACATTTAAAGCCATTGTACTTGATATACTAATACTTATGAGCACAAACATCAACCAAATTCTGTATTAATGCAAATAAATATTAGAAAGTGCTCCTTATATGGACTGTAGAACATAATACTGATAGCTGGAGCCTGGCATAAGCATATATTAAGTAAACAATCCAAAACTGTGTTAAACATACATATTTAATTGCTTATGGACATGGATGCTTTTGGTATGGTACATCTTTGTGGTTGTGCTTTCGTCCTATCAAAAAAATAGGATGCATTGTTTATTGAAAATGTAATAAAATTTAATTAACCTTTTTGTACATTCATTTTCATCAACCAATGGTGGAAAGATTGTGTTTGTCAGTTAACAATTAATCAGTTTATATTTACATTCCTACCACCTACACCAAACGTATTCAATCAAGACACCGTTATTGTAAGTTTGCTTCTTTAGGTTTGTGCTTGCACTACAATGCTAATAAAGTTACTGTGTAATAGAAGCTTATGACTACCAGTTTGCGTTGCATAAACTATATGATTATATCATCACACATTTGCCTTTATATGTGTCAAGCTGTAATCTCAAATAGACCTGCCTGTATGGTTTCTGAGAATAAACATCAGCAGCCTTACTGAAGCATGAATTTTGCCTTCTTTTAGAGGAAACAGTGTGGAAAGAAGTTTGTATGATGCTAATTAATGGGTGTTTGCTTCCATTACTTATTAGCTGCATTAGCCTCTTAGCTTTTAATGAAGCACACTTCGTATGCCAAACTAGTCCTGGTTGACTGGTTACATAAGGGGCAAGGAGCCAAATAGTTCTATTAATGATCCAAAGCATGGATATTTGAGCAGGGCTACTCTGAGACTGGAATTAAAGAGTGCTGTCTGTGAATCCCAAAACAATTACAGTGCTTGGCTCACCCTCATCCCAAGCACCAGGAAGCCTATCTCCTCCATCAGCGGGTACTTCCTGATCTGCTGTTCGCGCTTCTCCTGCGAGGCGAACGGGTCATAGCTCCGCTGGCCGATCTTCACATCCATGATGCAGGGCTTCTGGAATCTGCGAGTCACGTCCTCCAGCTTCAGGTACAGGTCTGTTCGTCAGGAGAAACATCAACATCACCTTGTTAAAGCAATAGTTTGGCCAACAAAAAAAAAGTGCACAACTTTCCTCTTACCCCACATTCAGCTGATCAACCAAGATATGCTTGGTGTCCGAAGTTTGCATCTTTAGCTTTGGGGCTTTGAGGCTAATGTAGCTAACAAGTAATAGAAGCTTCAAGCAAATTGTATCCAAATCGTAACACATCTACCTCAAACCGCACTTTGTTTTCTCAAAAAATAGAGGAGTAAAACTCTGACCTCACAATTAACAGATTTGACATTTCAATGCACTATAAAATCTCAAATTTTGTCACTATTTGACAGTTGGGTTATTTTCATATATTTTAACAAATACTGCAACGAATATTATTTATAACCCGTTATAATCGATCCTAAAGTTCCAAAACTGATGCTGTCAATTTTCACATGCATTTTACAGCTCTATCAAATAGACATTTCACTTAATTTCTATGTTACTAACTAGCCACAGGCCGCTAACTGGTATTATCAAATCTTTCTTAAAAGTGCTGATATTATGAAATTTTCATTCGTTGGTTATCTTTCCTGCACCACGTGATTTTTTTTTTGTTTGTTTGTTTGCTTCGCCTTTATTTTCCCATTCAATCATTGTAATCTATAGTTAGTTAAAAAATGTATACAGCAGAAAAGATTGCATTTAATTATGGGCTATTCAAACAGAACATTACCAACTAATTAAATACAGACAGATATATTTGACTTCCAATTGGAAAAATTAAAACAGAATTTTTCCTGACAAAGAATGCTGAGGTGCATGCAAATGAAGTAAACAAACTCTGTTACATGAGACATACTCTCCCGTAGAGAGTAAAATGGATGAACTTGTCCAAAAGAAGTGCGCCAGTTTGGCCGTTCTGCAATTGTAAAGAAACACTGGATTTTAAGAGCGGTACTTGCAGTCTGTGCAGAATATAGTGTGATGATATTATCATGATAATTCTGCAGACAATAATTGTTTGTCACTATTTACATTATTGTCCAAGCTTAACGCCAACTGCTACCATTACTTGTTAGCTACATTAGCCTCATAGCCCCAAAGCAAAACTAAAGAATCAAACTTCAGGCACCAAACATGTCTTGGCTGATTGACTACATTCGGGCTCTGGGGAAAAACTGTAAATTGGATTTTTCACTGAAATATCGTTTTAAGGCAGTAAGTATATAAGGGCAGGTTCACACACCATCTGTGCTCTCGGTCTGCCTACCCTTGTTTCTTTCTTAACAGGATTTTCTTTATTAAAAGATCGGTGGCAATCGGTTAGTGCTTCATCTTGTCAGGTGCTGGGGCTGTCAGCAAGCTGTTGCATACTGTTCTTTCTTGTTGCCCCCCCTGCCACACTATATGGAGTTAAGCCTCAGAAATAACAGGGTTTGGGATGAAACTGGGTCATGTTGCTAGGTACTGTACCAGCGAGTCCAATCTATAAACCAATGCTTATCACCTGTGGGGCTGTCAGGAGAAGACCAGGTGCCAAAGAATTTGGGAAGATGCTGCTGCAGGGTGAGGAGGCAGGGGTCATGGCAGTCTTCTGCATAAACCTGTAAGAAACGCATAAATCAATATCAATATCCAAACTCATCAGAGCATTGCTTCACTTAATACAATATCTGAATGGCACATATATGGTTCACTAGTGGTGCAAAGTGTTGGGCCTATAATTAGGAGGTCGCAAGTTTTTCAGGCTCATTGAGGACAGCAGCTGCCCTTTACATTGTGTAAAAATCTGATGCTGAATGGACAGGTGGAAATGGTCTGGAATTACTTAGGAAAAAAAAATCTAACTACATCAACTTACATTAAAATTAAAGAATGTTTTTGCCTTCGGTTACCATTTTGGAGGTATCTGGAGAGACAGCATTGTTAAACCTTGTGTGTTTTTTATTCAGAAGACAAAATATTTATTCACTGGGATATTCAAATACTGTCCATTTAAAAATGTTCAAATATCAACACTGGTTAAATAGCCTATCCAAACTCTCATTCAGCAAATGATATTTGCAGTCAGTTCTCCGCTTCTCCCTCTCAATGATGTGGGTGGTTTCTGCCCACAGCCAGTTCTGTTAGTTACATAACTCAACCCTGGGGGTCCCTCAGCATAATCAACTCTTAATTCACTACGCTTACCGTTTCAGAGCATGCTAACTGTGTCCTTCAAGGGAGGAATTATGAGGAAACCCCAGTGTGGGAGGCAAATCCGAGTTTAACGTCATACCCCACTGAGGCAGACATCTATCCGAAAGCTAAGACAAGCTCGTCCCTGCTTTCCAGCTGGACACTGTTCTGAGCTTGCCTGCTGGGCAGCTGAAGAGGGTTAAATGAGCTCTCCAGTCCAGCCACTAGCTAAAACAAAGCCCCTGCTGCTTTGGAGGGAGAGAGAGCCTTGCTTGCCTTCTTCAAGAGACTGTCTGAGTCAGTGAGAAACCACAAGCCTCTGGAGTGATCGCTCACTTCTTTATTAATACTAATGAGCTCCAGAAGCAGCTCCAGAGGGGTTTATCTCTGGCGACTTCACTCTTATAAACATGACTTTCTCATGCAAGCACACGGCCTGCCAAGAACACCCTCAAGTGAGTAATTTAAGAAAGAGAAAATTTAAAATAAAGACACTTCAATTAGTGGCGTGCAGTTGGTGAATAATACATTTCAAGTAGCACTGCAATTAATAATGACAATTTGGCATGGGGTAAAGATGCCACTAAACAGTGCTGGGGGGCACATACCATGCTGTAGAACTGCATCTCTCTGGGTCCTCTGGGAGGCGGCTGGAGCTGTTTCAGGACTGTGCCATCCGGATGCTGCAGAATACCTATTGGAGAACATGAACATGAGGCTTAAAGTACCATAAAGCTGTTATCTTCACTGAAAAATATAAACATTACACTGCCAAGTACATTAACACAAGCAAACCTATATTAACCATTTAAAATAGAAGTGGTCTTTGGAATGTTGGATATAAATATACATATAACAAATAATGATTGACATGTTATGAATCAATGTGTTTAAACAACCTCTGATTGACAATTTCATTAGTATTTAATCAGCATATTTTTTAAATGTGCAAAATGGAAATTCTGCTGCCTATTATGACCTATCTTTTTAAGTTGTAAATCTACAGCTTAACTTGACATTTATGTACACGTATAACTGCAGACTGTAGCCCATCTGTAGCTATGCAAAATTTATCTATCATCCAGTTCTTCATTAATAGTCAGTTTCTGGCCAACAGTGACACTGACATACGTAAAAAAAAACAAAAAAAACAATGACGTCACTGTACCTGATAAACTTACCAGCGCCACCTGCATCTACCATGCCAGTACCACGTCAGTGTCACTGCTGTTGAGAACTGTCCACCTGGTCAACAGCAGTCCTGTGGTCAAAAACTGACCAGTGATGATTAGGCTAGAGGGTGGCTAACAAATTGCGCATGAACAGAGATGGGCTACAGATTGCACACCTACATAGTGGACCTATATCATCAGTGGAGTGGTCAGTGAGGGGAGAGGTACACTGTTTACACCCTTACACCCTTTGTGACTAGTGAATCTGTCTCCTTTTTTTATACAACTTGTATAATCTCCATAGAAAAGCACTGCCAATAGAAAGGGATGCTCTGGAGCAGCCACACATGGCCTAAGGTCACAAAGTCCAGTGCCAAGCATTGGCTAGAGGGCAGTGGAGCAGTGAAACTGCGTTCCCTGGTGTGATGGAGAACCTTTGGAATGAGCCGGAGTGCCATTCATCATCCAGAACTAATCAGCCAACATCTCCTGACCTCATTAATGGTTTTGTGGCTGAATGCAAGCAAATCCACACTGCCATGTTTCAACATCTACTGTAAAGCTTTCCCAGAAGACTAGAGGCTGTTACTGCAGCAAAAGGAGGACAAACACCCTATTAATGATAATAAGATTTTAGAAGGTATGCAAGTTGAGCAGACGTCTATAGTGCATGTCAGTATCACGCAGTGCGTCGTTGTACAGAAAGGCTTAAGTGAAGGGACACCCTTTGGACCTGGATGGATTTCTCAAGACCACAGATGAGGAAAAAAAGCAACACTGTTGGTTACGTCACAATGTGAGATCTGCCCTGGATAAAACAGAAGATTACGGTCATGACCTCCAACTGAGCTAAGGATTTAGCCTAGGCACACCCTCAAAAGGTAGCAAATGAAAAAGCTCTAAGAAGCAGTGATTAATGAGCGTCTTTGGCAAGCAAATCAAATATTTAAGCAGTAGGAGTGAACAGTGCTGGTCAAGCTCTTCACACTGGGAACACAATCTCCTTTAAGCTCCAACCCGGACTTTGCACAACTGGCACCTTAGTTTCTTTGGTACTGAGGAACAACAATAACAGCAACAACGACCACAACCACAAATACACAGGCCTACTTTTTTTGCCATGGTCTTTGTTTTTTGCCAGCGTTATTGGACAGATATTTTGATTTGACCATTATTTTAAACTGATACTTGATGACCTATTTATAGTACTCTGGAGGAGCAGAATGTTTAGGTCAGGGGTACCAATACTTTCTGTCTTGGAGGCCCAAAGAGTAATGTTTGTGGTGTGCCAAGGGCCAAAAAGACAAAACAACTAGCTAGCTTGTTAGCATGACGTTTTCACGTGTCAGCAGTGTATGTGGAAAAACTTGGATCATGGTTGCTTTCACAATGTTGACAAATGTTGTATCCTGTAAATAAAGTGATGATTTCCTTACATATGAAGCAGACTGTTTGGCCTTTAAATTCCCTGAAAATATATTGACTCCAGTGGTCGCTTACTGGCCATTAGGACCATTGTCTATTTTTGTCTTTAGAACATAACTGTTGTTGTATTTGTTGTTACATGTTTGTTACAGTTAGTGATGAGTGTGTGGTGTTAGCGGTCACAGATTTTTTTAGAACATTAGCCAGCTACACCAACCAGCTACTTCATTAAGTACACTGCCATGTTTCTACACTCACTGTCCATTTTATCAGCCCCAGTTACTATATAGGTGCACTTTGTAGTTCTACAGTTACAGCCTTCAGTCCATCTGTTTCTCTGCATACTTTGTTAGCCCCTTTTACCCCGTTCTTTAATGGTCAGGACCCAACAGGACCACCACAGAGCAGGTATTATTTAGGTGGTGGATCATTCTCAGCACTGCAGTGACACTGACGTAATGGTGGCGAGTTAGTGTGTGTTGTGCTGGTACGAGTGGATCAGACACAGCAGTGCTGCTTGAGTTTTTAACACATCAGTGTCACTGCTGGACTGAGAATAGTCCACCAACCAAAAATATCCAGCAAACAGTGTGCTGTGGGCAGCGTCCTGTGAGCACTGATGAATGTAGGTGTGCCAAATAGAGTGGACAGTGGGTGGACACAGTGTTTAAAAACTCGAGCAGCACTGCTGTGTCTGATCCACTCGTACCAGCACAACACACACTAACTTCATCAGTGCCACTGCAGTGCTGAGAATGATCCACTACCCAAATAATACCTGCTCTGTGGTGGACCTGACCACTAAAGAACAGGGTAAAAGGGGGCTAAGAAAGTATGCAGAGAAACAGATAGTCCACAGTCTGTAATTGAAATAAGTGGTGCATTTCTTGATAATGGTTATCCAGGTGGATCTTGTCCTAATTTCTATATTTTATAAATGTTTATGTATTGGTATGGGCAGATATGTACCTGAAAAACATCAGATATCGGCATCGGGCCACAATTCTCATATTGGTGCATCCCTACTTAAGACTAACTAAACAACGAGTGTGTTTACATGCACTTAATGATCCGGTCATAATCAGATTTCTGCAGTTGTCTAATTATTCAAACAGTCATGTAAACAGCATAATCCAATTTCTTAGATCGGAGCAAAGTTGAGAAATCCGATTAAGAAATCTGATCAAGAGAGCTGGAGTTTAACTCAGAGAGTTCATTAGATTTCTCAGCTCATGTAAACTACTACATGGATTTATTTCGGATTTCTCAGTCTGCGCATGTGCAAAAAAACAGACAGCGGTACTGGACAAAAGCAAGCAGCATTTAACACAACACTTTTGGAGCAACGCTCAAACCAACTACATGCTTGACACATCTTTTTCTGCAGTTATCAGATTATTAAATGCATTAAGGGCACTCGCAGACTCTCTGCACTTCTAAAACTAAGCTCTGTTCACTTTAAGTTGTTACATTTTGGCAACACAAAACATCTCATATTGCCCCATTCAAGCTGGAACTGGCTGTAAATAACACAGGGCCACATCCACGGTTATTTATGTAAGGGTCAAAATTACACTGATTCTGTACATAATATAAACAAGAAACTGCAATCTGTTCAATACAGGTGATTTTCACAGCACTACCATTTTAATACACATTTATTAAAGGTCTGTATTGGACATTTACATGTGAGGTTAAACACAGGCACAGCGATCATACAGAGAAAAGATCTGGGAGATAAACCAGTGACAAAGTGTTCAACAACTAATGTTAAAATGCTACACAGAGGAAAGGTGCATGAGATTACCACTTTTAATCTGTTCACTGGCTAATGCTAAAATGTCCTACAGGAGAAATTTCAGTGAGATAAGCCCAGGATATTTTCTTGCTCCAAATATGTTTGCCAAGGGACAGCGAGAGATTCCTAGCAACAGTGGAATAACTATGATCTTATGGTCCCTGATATAAAAAAATAATGATTACATAAATAATAAAATTACTTTAAAACTACAATGTTTTTCATGTGTCTGCTCATTATTATCAAGTTGCCAGTCTCACAGCTCTCCATTCACTAGCATCTAATGGTAAGCTAAGCATTTGTTAGACCGATTTAAAATTTTAAAATAAATAATGAATATATCACGTTGCAGGTTGTGAAGGGTCCATTTGGAACTACTATATATGAGATGCCTTATGAATAAGAGAGAAATGAACAGACGCCAGGGCTGTCTGTGTAGTGTTGTTGGAGGCTAACTGTGAGGTATGGTGAGGTATGTTGCTAGGAAGTTGAATCTTGAGCCATGGGTGTACAACTGTGGGGCCCAGTTGCCTTGGTCCCCCTGGGCCATGGGCCCCAGTGGGCCCCAGTACAATTACCCAGAGATACGCCTCTTGCCTGACAAAACCTATTTGGAGCCATAAAACAAACCAACAACATAAGAACATACATAGTAGTAGTAGCAGGAAGTCAAGCCAGTGGGAATTGTTGTGTCATCCTCGGCTGTAAATGTTAAACCACAGGTCCAGCTGCTAGACAATTCAATGACCTCGATGACTGAAAACTTGTGAAATATGGTCGATCTAACAAGTGTTTAATATCAGTCAAAAGGGCAGTTTTGGATCTGCACTTGATTCAAACTAATTTAGGATTCTTGGCAAACCTATTTGAAGCAAGCCTGTGTCAATCAAAGACCCAAAACAAACCAAGACCACAGCTTAAGATGTTCTTGCAGTCAAGCTGAAGTGTAATTTTGTAGTATAAATATTATAACGCAAGGCCAAGTTGCCTTGACTTCCTTCTACTAGATGATTCAGTGACTTGGATGACTGGAAGGCTTCACCGGCACAGACCAAAGGGAAATGTGACTATGTTGAAATGTTTGCTATAGATAGGTGTGTAATTTACAACTGATAGACGATTCAGTGACCTGTATGAGTGAAAACCTTCACAAACACACACAACTTACTTACGAATGGCGTTTAAAGGGTTTAACCCGAGGGTCAAGCAGCTCACACAAAAACAAACAGTCCACTGACCTACTTTGTCCACGCCGTACTTGTGGCCAGCCACCTGGTGGGAAAGCGGCACGCAGCCGTTCAGGCGCGGACCAGAACCGTGACCAAGACCAAGACCAGGACCAGGACCAGGACCAGGACCAGAACTCCGGATCTCCAACCTCCTTCGCAGCGCTACCGACGACGATGAGTCCATGAGAGCTGTCGTCGTCGTCGCTGCCGCTAGTAACGTTCAAAACGGCTCGTCCCCACAGAAAACGGGGCGGCAGCTACATGACCGTTTTCACCCGCAGCTCGGTGACGGACGCCAAACGGCCCTCGCAGTGCGACCGATCGCCATCGCTTCGTCGTTTCGTCTCAGACTTTAAAGCCACCGGTTCCTCAGTCTGGCCACGTCCCACCTCCACCTCGTCTTTTTTTTGTAAGCGCCGCTCCCTGTCTATAACCCAAGACTCGGACCGCGGGGGGAGAGCCGCGGCCCACAAACACTTGCCATCCGTTTTTATTTTTTTTTATGTTTTTTTAAGTCGAGTCCACCGTTACGGGATTTTTTCCTCCGCTGTTTGTTTGCTACTCGAACGCGGCGTGACGCCACTGTGTGACGTAGAGGAGAGGGTTTTAACCGTATTAATTAAGGGGGGTTCAAAACTAACCGAATTATCCACAGAGTTTGTCATATTTTCTTGTTTTTTGTGTAACTTTTTAAGATGTATGATAGACATTTTAATGTGACTGAAAAAGTATTTTTCACACCTTTCGTCTCATAAAAGTACCAAAATGACTTCCGGGTGTAGGTTGTCATGTTAAAAGTCACGTAGACGGTTGATCTATTTTCAGAATGAAACGTATTTTTATTAAGACTGATATATAATTAATGCTTAAGATACAAATATGCTCATATCAAGTATTAGAGATGGAAAACAAAGTCAGAAAATGGCGCTACGAAAATTATTAAAAGACATCATGGCCCTGGAAAACCGTTTGTAGACGAAGAGCTACTACAAGATTATATCACAGTTATTTGAACGTTAAGCTGTAAATTAGTGACCAAGTGTACAATGAATAAAATGAGGTTTTTCATTTCGTTTTATATTTCAACACGTGGCATTTTCCAATAACTATATTACTAGCCTATCACGATCACGAAATTTTATCTGACGATCAGTTGTTCAAATAATTGCGATTAATGATTTAATTTCTGTTTCGTAAATTTTATTTTGAACTAATAACGTACAAGTCTTACGCCGCTAAATTGGCTTATTAGTTAGCTAGTTATCTTGCGTAACGTTAGTTAACTGTTCTGTACTGTGCTTAACAAGTGTCAGTCACACAGACATCCAAAGCTTCCATTTTTCACGAGACTGAGAACATGCGAGCGAAAACACTTGTTCTGTAGCCATACGTGCTAAAATTAACAACACTCCCCCTTAAACGCGTTATAGCACACAAACGTTAGACCTAGAAAAATGAGATTTACATTTGGCTAAAACCCGAACTACTGACAAACGCATCAGACTCACGTTACGCTTCTAAAAGTACAATATGATTGTGAAAAATAATTGCGATCATATGATTACGTAATAATTGTGACTGGCCTACATATTACGACTTCAGTATTCAAAATTACGTTTTCGGGAACACCAGTGTTAGAGAACGGTCCAGAAGCACTGTAGTTCCTTCAGGGTAGCAAGAAAATTGGCACAAGACTGTGAAACCAGCCCAAATGGAAAATCCTCTTATCATTTAATGATGATTACATATTATTATCTCGTTTACAAACAGTCCAAAGTGGGAAATAACAAAATGTTATGTGACTTCCCTTGGAAGGAAATGGTAAGTTTTCAGGCATGTACTCAGTCACATAGGCATAGGTGTTAAATTAGTCCTTGTATAAACTGTGTTATGTATGAACTGTCTCTGTAAATACATTGGAAGGGTTATGTTGCAATGTTATGGGCCCAAGACACCCAGAGACGATCGGTTACAAAATTACGACAATAGTTTAAAGCCCACTATTTAGGCCTACTTATGACAATGTCACAAAAACTACATATCCCAATAGTCTCTAAACTGTCTCATTTGTGGAGACAAAAAGGGAAAAAATTTTATAAGGCAGCATTAGATCTGTAATACCTTCTGAGGCAATTGCTGTGAACGTTGCAAAAAACCCAAATGTGGGCCTCAACTTTCATAAGATTTTAGCATTATTAACATAACAGCCCCATTTATTCCATTATGCTCAATGGGCCCAGTTCCACTCCAGAGTCCCTGCCCCACACACTGTCAACTATTCCACACAACACCACACCTGACTCAGCTAATCAAGTCACTTTCAAGCCCTTTATGAACTGGATCAGGTGTTTTGGGGCAGAATATACATCAAGTTGTTTTGGTGCAGGCCCTATTATATTTTTAGCATACATTTATACTAATTTAAAACATTAATATACTCCTTATACATAAAATATAAGTATCTTTGTGTTACAGATAAAATTAAACTTTGTTTAAACCACAATGAAAATATTTTGTAACCTTTAAAAGCCACAGTTGCAACATAAAAACATAATCCTCCATATAGTCATGCCTTCCTAAAAACACTTAAACATGCAAAAATAAAAATTAACAAACCATTAACCATTAAACCATTAACAAAATCAGTGCTTGGGTGTTGGAAGGGTAAACAATGATAGAAATGCTGAATAAATGAAATAGCCCCAGTTGTGAACTCATCATAATAAGACAGCTAGAATATGCAGATGAAGAGCAGTTGTAGATAAATGCCAGCGCTGGGACCTTGTGGATTATTCTGACAACATGCACCATCTAGTGGAGACACAGCAGTTTACATACTGCAAATTCTATGAAGAACTTGATTTAGTTGATTTAATGAACCCAATCGGATATGTATCTAATAAGCATAGGCACAAGGGTAATGAAAAACAAAGGTAAAAAAGTGAACACAGACATCTGCTTTTTCAACAAATTTTAATGAAAAATAAAAAAAGAAAGAAAAAATAGATCAAGTATAGTTGTTTTTAACTATACAATAAAAATATCTAAAGAAAACATAATCAGTTGAAAGAGATACAATAAAACTGTTTTCAATTCCTCAATTTCCCTCTTCTGGGGTCACTGCAGCTGCATAATTTCATGCCAATCTTAAATAGGATTTATATAACAAGAAAACACAAAGTGCCCAACACCGTTTTAGGGGGATGACCAAATCCACCAGATTAAGAACCACGTCATGTCATTTTGTGCAAAGCACAGCCCCCTTCAAAATACTAGTTCAGCTATTATTATTGGTCATTGCAGATGGTAAATGTTAATAGTAGAATGTGTTTAATAATATAACCTAAGTACTTTTAGATACTAGAATTTACAGTGATTTGTGACTTAAAAAATGTCCATTAAGTCTTCACATTGCATACTTTTGGGTCCATTCTCTTGCTAGTCTGTTGTATCTACAAAAAAATAAAAATAGCCACAAATTTAGACAGTCTCACAATAAAAATGTACTGCTTCCTCAATATGCTATGCAACCATGATAAGAGTAACTAACAAAACATAAGTTATGATATAAAGATCAAAGCATTTCTACATATCTGACAAACGCAAAATACTCAAAAGGTTGTCGTTCATAAAATTATCAATAATTCCATGATTAATGTACTTACTTTTCTTTGTCTGACTTGTAGATGTTTGCTATGTCTGGCACTAGGGGATCGTCAGGGTTTGGGTCACACAGCAATGAGCATATGGACAATAGAACTGTGAAAGAAAACCAAAATCAGTATAAATAACTCATGAAAATACAAAATTTCATGTTAAAAACAGTAAACATACTAATAATGATGGAATGTCTGTACCTTTTGAAACTGTTAGTGCTGGGGACCACTGTGACCTCAAGATGTCCAAGCAAATACTTCCATTACTGTTTATGTTTGGATGATAAATTTTTGTTGTAAATGCTACCTGTTAAAAGACAAAATTGTGTACTTGATGCCTTGAGCTGAGACACTGGCAAAAGAAAGTGCAAAAGCAGTTAATTCTTATCCAAATTACCTTTGGTGGCTTGAAGGGATAGTCTGTGGGAAAGTGAATAGTAAGAAAGAACACTCCTCCTTGGTATGGACTATCACTCTGTTAGAAAGAGGAGGAAAAAAAAGAAATTAATATGATTTTAGCATTGTTATACTGTTACTATACTTGTTATAGTTGAAAATTGGCCAAACTGGCTAATCTGGCACATTTACTGTAATGTTAAATTAAATTATTAATTTGCATTTGCCCTGTAAATCTAAACTGAATAAGTTAAATCTACTGTTGCTGTACCAAACAACCTGACATTAATAATAAACCAGTAATAACATCCAATCATATTTAGATACCACTGGGAAAGAATCGAAAGATTAGAGAGAAGACTACGAACACTTTATATAATGATCTAAATAAATAAATAAAGTTTAGAGGTCAAAACACTTACAGGTCCCATTATTGTTGCCTGCCAGTGAAACACTATGAATCAAAAGGAGAGAAGAACAGATTGTGAAGCTTCCTGTATTCTCATAGAGCCAAACAATGACATGTCTTATTAAATCTCAATAAACCTACAGTCATCCCCAACTGGTCCAGCCGAGCACTGTGCAGGAGGGTCCCTTTGCAAGTCTTGAAGCTCCTAAAGAGGGGGTGAAAAGAGATATGAGTAATGTATCGTTCACAATCCAATCTCACAGCAAGCTAATCTCGTAACACTCAAACACTCTCTTTAAATCCACAGGTCCCTAAAATATGCCACCTAAGGATTAACTGTTACGTATTTTTCATTTATGATTGTAACATTGGCTTTTGCAATACTGATACCACAAGAGAGTCATCATTTATAAGGGCCCTCTGACAAATTATATTTTGGTGTGGGTGCTACAAGCACCCTGACTAACCTCTGTTGTTCCTTGTAAGTGTTACTGTGTGAGGTGTGATGAATTAAGGCACTGACATTATCAAGCATAAATTATTTTGGACAAAATAATGCTTGGCCATTTTTAATCAGGAGGTTTTGTACAAAGAAGGTAAGTTAAACTAAACCTATATTCTGTCCTATTAGAAGTAAAGGACATTCTTGATGGAGAATTCTCATTAGGGATGCATTGATATGGGAACTGTGGGCCGATGCCAATATTTTTCATGTACATATGTGCCGATACTGATAATAATATTATAAAATGTAGAAACTGCCTGGATAATATTTATTTCGGAAGGGTTATTAATGCATTAAAATAAATAAAATGCAGGCATTTTAAAGTAGTAGCCGGTAAACGGTAGCATCCCAGTGTTGCCTAAACATTCTCTTCCGGAGTACAATAAATGTGTCATCAATGATCAGTTTGAAATATCAGTCAAATTTAAACTGCTCTCCTATGCTAACAATGTTTTCAGATATTATCTAACAACACCATTGTGCATCCCAAATTCTTATTTTCACTTTCAAACTTTCAAATGTTTTAGCTTTACTAAAAAAAAATCCTGCTTTGTAGCATACATCCATGCTTAGCCCAATATATCGTACATTATATCGCAATATGTGGCAAAACAATCTCAGTATTCTTTCCACATAGAACAGACCTAATTATTACACGTCACAGGAGCGCAGATACGCCAAACTGTAAGGAGAAAGGGGCAAATGGTATTAACTTGTCTTGCCCAGGGATAGACAATTCCAGTACTGTGATCCTGAAGGTACTACAGTTGCCCGTGTCCGGAGAACCCAGGGGTAGTTTCTCAACTTTTGACGTCGTATCACAACAAACGTCACTGGAAATTTAGGAAACGTTACGCAACGCCTGAACTTCGCAACTTGTTTTTGTCGAAACGCAAAGTGACCCAACAGCGCAGAGTTTCTGCTGAGCCGAACGACCACTTTTGCCTATATAAAAACACCTGAATTGTGGAGAAAGTCACACAATACATCCCTGGCTTAAACAAAGAAAACAAAAGTAGGCCGATACGAATCTACGCGCACACAAAAAGCAGCCTGTTTCTAGCTAAACCGTTTACTGTTGTTCTGAAGTGGATGCGAAACGCAGCTAGCTTAGCTTATTCAAGTCTTTGTTCAGCACGGGCCTTCTCGAAATAAACCGATGAGTAAGGAAAATACTAGTGGCAAATATACAACTTTGTCAAACTGAGCCTTTGAATTATATATACACTTTCATTTATAGCTAGATAATTACTGTTTAATGTTGTCGTACTCGCTAAAATAACGTACTTAGCAAAAACAGGCAAACTGGCAACAAACCCAGAAAGAGGCTAACCTCAGCTGGCTATCTGAACCAAGCTAAAGCTAACAACGAATTAATACTGCTGGCAAATATAATAAAACAACTAGCCAGAGGACAGCTGATTTATAAATAACAAAACTTATATTTATGACACTACTAGTCACATCTGGTGACAAAGCACAAAAGCCCTCTAAATATTAGTAAAATAACTGGTTATCCGCTAAATGACACGACTGCAACAGCTAGCTAAGTTGGTTAGCTAGGTTAACGTACAACAATAATCGACCGTATGCAATATCATCCAGTAACTATACCATAATTTCGTTACATTATCAAATGAACTATCTTTCTAATACTGAGAGATAGACGAATCATATTTATTAGTTATGTAGCCAGCTAACATGCCTAAAATCAAAAACAGCAGCAGGCGACCCAAAAAGTCTCCAGTTTAACCAGTTAAATCAAAAACCCAGATAAGCAGCCATCTCCCAAACTGCTAACCCACCTCCCACAAAAGCCACAGTTAACACAAACAAAAATACAAACATGTTTCTTTAATTATCATTTCTTTGCCAAGAAATGCCTCAACAAACTCAAGAAAGTAGAAAATGAACGCCGAGCAGCTGCCTGGAGAAACTTGGCTGGCTAACCTTAGCTCGCTAACGACAGCGTTTAACTAATTTATTGTTGTTGATGGCTGAAGAGTCTCCTCTACTTCTTAACAACAAAAAAGGTTTCTTACCTTCTGTATTCTTTTTAATGCCATAACACCTGTGCGTGTGTATCGGTATGAATGCGGATCTAAGCGGACAGTCCGGTTTTATTGCTCCGTGAGCGCTAACAGCACTTTCTGTTTCCCTGAGACAAGCTAATGCGGCTAACGGGAACCGCACAGCGGGGGTTCAGTGCGCCAAAATAAAAGTCCGCTTTTTTCTACATCTCGTCTTTTATTATTTTGTTTATGTTTTTTTTTGTTTGTTTGTTTTGTTTTTGTTTGTTTGTTTGTTTTTTGCACGGTGGCACTATATTGTACTTTTTGCGTTGCACCGTATGTTTGCGTGCATTTTGTTTGTGTCTTTAGCACTATATTTATATTTGTTTCTTTTTATTTGGACCTACAAACTAAGAATGTGATTGTACAGTCCAACAAATTTCTCTGTGCACATTACAGCTAACCCTTATTTAACTTGAATAAACCAGCGCCAGCGTTCAGTGCTATCACATTCGTGAAAGCAATAGGCAGACAAATGTGAAATGGTGTTTAGATACTGTTGAAATAATTCATATATGCATGTTTTTAGATACTTTCCAACGTTTTAAAATTATTTTTATATTTATTTTTAAATTGTGTTAATTAGTCAAACTTGTATTTGTCATGATATTTTATTTCATCATATTTTATTTTATTTTTCTTTTTAGTGATATCTTTCTCTTTTACTACAGTTTAGCTGTGACATCGCATTGTTTTTTGCTTCATTTTATGTTTGTATATGCTACCTTGGTATGCATTTATTCTGTAAGAGAAATAAAGTTGATTATTATTTTTTTAATTAATATTTTCCAAATATATTATTTAATTAACATTTTAGTATCGCTTTAAATCTTTTATTTATTTATGTATTTATTTGTTTAATCTCTGTAATCATTACATATGTGCTAATATTTGTAGCTTTTTTATTTCACTTCATTGTTGGTCTTTGTAAACGCACCGTATGTACCGCCGAGTATTTCGGGGCTTATCCCACAATGCACTCCGATGCGAAGGCGCCTTTCGTGCTGGTGCACAGGACGGGCGGCCTAATGTAGAGATAAATACAAATTCAGAAAATTTAAATAACTCGTTTTTTTCTGCCCACGATTTTTCCCGAACTGTTTTTACGGCAGTCCCATTTGATACTGCTTGAATATTTGCGTAATGGCTCCGTTAAGTTTAATGTCCGTTAGCACTGTTTTGGTGAAGACTTTGGGTCTGTTCTCCACTGCAACGGCTGTAAGGTAAAGCACAAGTGCACCACTTCATACATTCAGAGGAACTTTAGGGACTTGTGTATGATCTACTGAGGCTTAGACTAGTTTACATAGCAGCAAAATGTTGCTTTGCTGACAGTTAGTTAGCCCTGTGCTGCTAAGAGAGATTTTGGGTCGGACTTTTTTTTTTATCAGACTCGTATCAGTTGAGTTAATGTTAGATAATATTGTTAGTTCATTGTCGGAGCACGTTGTATATTGAGTGCATTTTATTTACTTGAGCCTCAGCCATTCCACGATCCTTGTGCTGGATCCTTGTGCAAGTGTATAGTATTGAAAACTCTCTGTCGAAGTTAAACAGACTCCTAGAGCGCGTAACTATTACTTTATTCTGTGCTCTGACAGTGTCTCTAACGCGATTAACCTAACATTACATGCTATGTTTTCGCTTAGCATGGTGCAGTTTAAGGGGAAATCCACCGATATTTCAAAATGTATGCATAATGCGAACGTGGAGATGCAAACAAAGTAATTCAGATTGGTTTAAAGGGGAACTTCACCAAATTTTCAAAATGTCCACATAAATAAATGATTAAAATGTAAACAAGTCATTCAAAGTGGTTTGACGTGAGACTTACAGAGTCAGAATAGTTCGCAGTGGTGGTGATAGGAACTGGACGCCCACCTCTAAAAGTGCCCCCCCCACGAAACTTATTGTGCAAAGTGGTTATGAATACTCTGCCTGATGGCCGAGACATTGTTTTACGATAGTTTTGTGATAAAACTACGACCTAAAACGTCTTGTTAATCCATTTATTTTAATCGATTCATGGTGGAAGAGTACATGCAGGGCGTTGTGAGGCAAATAGTCCCAAAAGGAAATGTATTTATTCAGATTTTCAACGAATTTACCATTATCAGCATTACATATAAAAACTCAGAAGACAAGTGTAGGTTCACTGCTGGTTTTGGATAGTAAATAAAATGACTATATTTTTGTTGGCGACCCCTGGTTCCTGTCACCACCACTGTAAAGAAGTCTGAGTGTGTTAAATTCCTTTACAATGAGCCACTTCACATCAAACCCCTCTTTTTTGAAAAATCAGTGGAATTTCTCTTTAATATGAAATTATTAATTTTATAGAATTTTCCTGATTCAGATTTTCTTTACACTGGTGGTGATAGGAAGCAGGGGCCGCAATATGTACGATGCAGTACGATAGACATTTTATTTACTATCCAAAATAATAAGTTAAAAAATAAATAAATAAAAAATCTGAGAACGGTTTTCAAAGTGCGGAATTTCTTTATGTGAAAAGTGTAGGCGCACTGATTGTGTGTCAGATGTTTGATGTTTTTTTTTTTGTTTTTTTTAGGTGCTCCTGCATTGCTCCAACATTAAAACACTTCAGCACCACAGTTGGAGGCCGCCCGAAAAGGCCGCTCACCGCATACATGCAATATGTGAAAGCGCAGCAGCCCCTTGTCGTCAAACAAAATCCAGGTAAGCTGTAGTGCTGCTTTCCGTCATATTAGCCAGTGTTGTGTAGTATGCGTTTGTATTGAACATTTGGTGGTGTTTGAATACAGCTTAACTGAAACAGTGACATCATGTCCCCTTCAGATATCAAAGTTGTGGACATTGTCCGAAAGATAGCACAGCAGTGGAGGACACTTACACCGGAGCAAAAACGTGTAAGTCTGATTGTGTTTTAAAGAACATATGTAAGACTTTGAGCTTCAGTGCATCTGAAATTTAAAAAAGGAGAATCCAGGCAGAAATTCATGCAGAGCATACTTGGATTGGAAAGCTATTACAAATAGAGCAGTTAGTCCTGTTCATTTGGAGTTAGTGCAGTGCAAAATGTGAAATGCTGAATATACATTTTTAATGGAAGTTTTTAATACGGCACTGCTGGTTCTTTTTTTCTTTTTCTTTTTTTTTTTATTATTTAAATAACATTTCCATTCTTCACTGCAAAATTTCCACTGGGCCATGGCCCACGTAAGCACCTCTGGTGGTCCTCAGGCCTATACTGAGGGGAGCCAGTCCATAGTGGGTCGGTGATGGCACTTTTGTGATGATAAAGAAATATAAAATGTTTTCAAACTGTAAATATTTATAAAAGCCCTGCAACAACAGCACACAAAGTAGCTTCATCTGTTTTTTTGCCCTGTGCCTCTAAAAACAAAACATACCCCCCCCTGAGGTTTCAGTTGTCCACTCCAGAGCAACTGGTGTAATAAATGTGTTGCAGCAAATTTTCTGTCTGATTTCCGGTACAAAACAAGCTTACATTAACCCAATCCATTGTTCAGTGTTCAACGATAAATGTTGCATATTGCGGCAACCAAACATCACTGTGTTGAAAATTTCCCAAAATTATTTTTTAAGCAGTAACGTTTCCTTTTTTTGTCTTCTTATTGGCCTTCATGCTTTCTAGTGATAAATAGGTGAACCCTGAGCTGGGAACGGTTGAAAATCCCCTGCTCTAGTGTTTTGGGTACTTACCACTTCTTCAAAAATATGCTTGACTTAAAGTGTATCTTCGGATAAGCCAGTCAACCACTACAGTGGTGTTCTTGTGTTGAATTATTATTAGATTTTGGAAGTTGACATCATTAAACATTAGCTTACGTAAAACAGCACTGCCATTAGAATTATAACTTACATGGTGTTTTTCCTGTCTGCATTTGTCTTGTAGCCCTTTGAAGAGGCGTCCTTAGCAGCTAAAGAGCAGTACAAACTTGATATGCAGAAATACGAAGCGCAGCTCACCCCTGCACAAACTGCAGCTATTGCAGAGGAGAGAAGGCAAAAGATGGCAAAAAGAAAAGCAATCAGGAAGAAGAGGGTAAGTGAATACTCTTCTACTTTTCAGTAAAGCTGAAAAGTTCATACCACTTTTTACACACACACACACACACACACACATACACACACACACATATATATATATATATATACACACACACACACACACACATCTATAAAACATAGAAACTGGTACAGCATCTACCTTGGTTCACAGTAAGAGAAATGTAACATTTATTTCTGTAGTGTTACAAATCCGTTAATACTTAGAAATTTATAGAGTAGTTTCCAGTCATGGACCTGGAGAAAAAAGACAATCGATGAAATATCCTGGAAATATTAGTAAAGTCATGGAAAAGTATAAAGGTGGGCCATTATGCCATCAGGATCACATACTTTACTACATTCTTTCGTGCATATAATTGTGCTAATGCCCAGTTTGGGCATCCATACGTACACTATATGGACAAAAGAATTGGGAAACACCTCTTAAACTTAATCATTGAATTCAGGTGTTTCATTCAGTCCCATTGCCACAAGTGTATAAAACCAAGCACCTAGACATGCAGTCTGCCTTTACAAACATTTGTGAAAGAATGGGTTGTTCTAAAGAGCTCAGTGACTTCGAGCTCTGCTGACTCAATAACCACAAAGTTCCAAACCTCCTCTGGCATTAACATTAGCACAAAAACTGAACACTGGGAGCTTCATGGCATGGGTTTATGAGTGCTGATGTGCATAGTGCATAAAAGTTGTCAATGCTCTGCTGACTCTGCAGAGTTCCAAACCTCCTCTGGCATTAACATCAGCACAAAAACTGCGCTGGGAGCTTCACAGCATGGGTTTCCATGTCTGATTAGCTGCATGCAAGCCTTACATCACCAAGCACAATGCCAAGCATCGGATGGAGTGGTGTAAAGCACACCGCCACTGGACTCTGGAGCAGTGGAAACATAATCTGTGGATTGACCAATCACGCTTCTCTGTCTGGCTGTCTGATGGACGAGTCTTGGTTTGACTGCATTGTGCCATCTGTAAAGTTTGGTGGAGGAGGGATAATGCTATGGGGTTGTTTTTCAGGGGTTGGCTTAGGCCCTTCAGTTCTAGTGAAAGGAAATCTTAATGCTTTAGCATACAAAGACATTTTGGATAATTGTATGCTTCCAACTTTGTGGGAAGAGTTTGAGGTAGGCCCTCAACCCCATCGAACACCTTTTGGAATGAACTAGAACGGAGATCGCGATCCAGGCCCTCTCGTCCAACATGAGTGTCTGACCTCACAAATGCTCTTCTGGATGAATGGGCAAAATTCCCACAGACACACACCAAAATCTTGTAGAAAGCTTCCCAGAAGAGTGGAAGCTGTTACAGCTGCAAAAAGGGAACCAATTCCGTATTAACGCCCATGTATTTAGAATGTAATGTCATAAAAGCTCCTGTAGGTGTAATATGTAGATGTCCTGATAAATTTGTCCATATTGTGTACCTGTTGTAGTTTGGATTGTTATACTGTCACATGTGGACAGATAAGTGGACACCATATAGCATGGGACTGCACTAACACATGCCAGCTTCTTGTGCGTCTAACTTTATTGGAATTATCTGAATTATGAAATTCAGCACAATGGCAATTTTCTTATTAATTCATAGGTTTTTATAACGATGAATATTTCCTTTTTCAAAGCTACATCTGATTGTTTTTGGCACTGAAGCATGCTTGTTAATTATTAATATTATGTATATCTGGTAAATGGTTTTCTAAACTGAGTGGGAGCCCTGCAAGAGCATGTGATACTTTTTGTGGCCAAGCCATCATTCAAATTCTTTATAAATTTGCTTTGTTGTACCTGTAGGAACTGAATACTCTTGGCAAGCCCAAACGACCCAGGACAGCCTTCAATATTTTCATGGCAGAGCACTTTGAGGAAGCAAGAGGAACTACTATGCAGGTAAATATATGTCTTTGCACATTACACATGGCAGGTACATTTCTTAAGAAGTGGGTGTAGGGGTCAGTAAACTGTTTGACCAAAATTTTGGTACCACAAACATGTTTCTTTGTAGTATGTACAGCTTAAAAGTAAGGATCTTGTTAATACATTCTTAATCTTTATGGAATGGTTTATTAGGAATGTATCCAGAATTATAATATAGTGAATCTTTTTTTTCAGGGCAAACTGAAGTCTCTTTTGGATGACTGGAAGGGTCTTCACACATCCCAGCAAAAAGCAAGTCCCATTTCCACAGCAGTCTTTTCATTCAGATGCATACAAGCATATGATCTATCTGATCATACTTTTGTGTTTAGGTGTATGTGCAGCTAGCAGAGGATGACAAAATTCGTTATAAAAATGAGATGAAGGCCTGGGAGGAGCACTTGACAGAACTTGGGAGGGAAGATCTCATTCGACGGAAAGAGAAGACACCGAAGAAGCTGGCAGTGACCAAAGGTGGTAAAAAGTCCCAGGTGAAGGTGTTGAAAGCCAAAGCGCCAGCAAAGAAAACGGCGCCAAAAAAAACGACTGCTAGGGCAACTGAAAAAAAGACAGAGAGTAAGCCAAAGAAGTGAGTGGTTATTTGGCGGGAAGGTATGTGTTATGAAAAGGCAAGCTCCGTCCTGAATAAAACTCAGTGTTTTAGAAGGGGACACGTTTCCATTGTTTGTGCTGCTTAGACATAGTGTAAATAGCATGAAGCAACTCCAACTGTGACAAACCGTTAATGGCCAGTTGAACGGTCAAGGTTTTGCCCTAAAGAGCAATTGCATCAGTTGTGCAGGTCCAGCAGAGTTTATGCTGACTACTAAATTTTCATTCATCATGAAGTTACTTTACCAGTTATTCCAGTATTGATATGCAGCTGACCACTTTGCTTTTTTGTCTTAGAACGTAGCTGTTTGTGTATCATGCTTAAACATAGATGGAGAGCTGTTTTGTATCATATCTTTACTTCCTCAATAAATACATTTTCTATAAAAGCAACGTGCAGTCTCTATACAATGTAACACAACTTGTTTAATTACAATGTAAAACAACAGTGAGCACATAGACATGTAAATATTTACAATGTTACCTTTTGAAAACTGTCAACTGGTAAAGCTAAGACTTGGAGAGTGAATATGTGTTTGAAGAAGCTTTGACCCCCTGAAGGAGAGCCTCAAAGTCAGGCGAGCACACCAACTTGTGGGTGACGTTACCCAGGACTGTCATGTCTCCGGTTAGGCCCTCCGTAAGACGCACAGACACAAGTTGCTGTAGAATAATACATACTGACTCATCAGATCAAATGTTTGCAGTAAAATCTTTTAAAACATTCACAGTGAAATGTACCAGGATGCACCAACATGGAAGATGCGGATATCTTAATAATTTTCATGTATGTATCTGCCAATGCATGCTTACAATACATAGCATGCTTAAATTGGAAATAGACCCCTCTAAAATAACATTACAGAGAAATGTAGTAAAATTATTATTAATTATTAATTAAAATGCAGATATACATAAACATTCATGCTTTCCTGGAGTACAATAATTTCATAATCAAATATTGGTTTAAAATGTTGCTTAAATCTAAACATTTGTCCAACATTAATATTATTTTAAGCAAACATCTACAAATACCAATTTGTTACCGATATCATCATGCATGCCTACTATGAAAGGAATGGTTGACCTAATGTTCAAATTGACACAGTTTTCCCCCTGACCCCAAGCATAGTCGATCTGCCAAGACACTTTTGCGTCTTCAGTTTTGGAGTGGCGCTAATGTAACCAAAGTATATGGCTCAATTCACTCACTAGTTCAGTACATTCTACCCAATTGGTCAAAACTCACTGTGGACTTTTAACTGACTTGGACTTCAGACTAAAATCCTTTTGCTTTAAATGACCCTATACCTTAGTTATGTATAAACATGAGCATAAATAAAGTTGATACTTGTGAAATACAGCATGTTATAGATTATTTTGTAAGTGGTATGTAGTTAGTAACATCAAAGCATAAGTACAGTAGAGAAAAATGCAATTGGTTAGCTAAGTAGTGACGCTATTTTTTGGTCTGGGTGCAAAGGGTACAGTTGATGCTCAGCGGTTTTCACTGTGCATTGTGGAAGCTTTTAGGAAAGGAAAGAGGGCCAGTTATTGGCACACAGATTAGGCCAAAGCCTGGACTAAAAAAGGACTTTTAATGATGGATTGCTATTGTTAATGTAATGAAGTCCTAGTCTAAGCTTAATCCATGTCCAGTAAACCAGACTGTCTTACTTTTGTCTACAAAGATGGACAAAAGTACAGGCCAAGTTCAGGCCTTGAGATGGCTCCAACTACTGTAACACGCTTTCGTCCATTTTTGAAGAAAACAGTTTGCTTTTGTTAATTTTTGAAGAAAACAATTTGCTATATAGTGTTATTTGCTATATAGTATATACAGAAACTATATATGCCTATTCATAGGTCTATTTTACATTCTTTAACGACTCAGTAGGGTTTGTGATGACTGATAGCTATAGCACAAAACTAAGAAGCAAACTTTCAGGCTGAAAGATTTTTTTTGCTGAACTATCACTTGACATAGTACAACTGAACTACCAAAGACATTACAGTCCAGCTCTCACTTTGCACTTCTTGACGTATGGTCAGCGCTAATGCTTGTGGACTCACCTGCAGAAAAGAAAAAGCTGCTCCTTCTGAGACATCCAACGTAATGTCCCCCATAACTAGCTGCACTTTGCCAGATTTCCTAACTTGCAGTTTTCCAATCAGTCCTTCTGAAAGGTCAGAGAGTACAGGCACAGCCTCCTTCTCCATGGGATCCTGAAGCACAGCAATTTCAACAGATTCACCATCAAATTGCACCAGGAGGTAATGAACACTGTATTTTTATCAGACTGGAGGTATGTCTTACCTGTGCTTTAGCATGAGATGACTGCTTGTCTTCAGCTTTGCCTTCTTTTTTTGATGATTTGTCACAGCTAGTAGCTTTCAAGGGGCCAGGTATGGTATCAGGAAGCTGGATGAATAGGAGCTCTTCCTTGTCCGAAACACTTAATTGCTGGAAAAGATCTCCAACAGTAGAAGGCTGATCACTTGCATAAGTTCTGCTTGCTTGTGATGGAAATCTTGGCTGTGTTCTTGGTGACTTTGAACAAGTATAATCGGATGTCTCTTCCTTTACTGTGAAAACGGAGTGCATTCTGTTATTTGACGTGCTGCAATGAATTACTGAATACTTGATTTAATCTCTAATACCAATACTCTTAGATCACACACAATTCAATCACTGAGATGTAAACTACAATGTAAATCGTTCAGAGTGGTGATAGGAACCAGGGGTCATGAGGTCTTCAATGCAAATATAGCCAATTTACTTGTGTCCAAAATGACCAGTGAACCAACATAAGGTCCTCTGAATTTTTTTATGTTGATAAAGCTAAAATCATGCTAAATCCAAAAAAACTTCTTTGGAGATTATTCTGCCTTACAACACACTGCATGTATCTCTCCACCATGCATGGATTAGTGAAAAAGTAAAAAAAAAAAAACCTTTTCTCAAAACTATTTTAAAATAATGTTTCAGGCAAGAAATGATATTAGTAAGAAGTAGGTAGCAAAGTAGGTAGAGGCATTACAAGCTTCAGACGTCCCATTGGTTCCCATTACCACCACTGCGAACAATTCTAGCGCTGTAAGTTTATCTAGAAACTCTTTTGTTACAATGTATTACCTAATCTTCAAAATGTTGTTTTGGTTAAAAGCTTTTCAACGTACATGAGATACCTGTCTCCGCTGTCAAAAAGTTGAATGATTGATGGAGTGGAAGCCTTATTGGTCTGTGCTTGGGGTCATTTTTCAGGCCAGGATCATCTAAGAACTACAATGCAATAAAAAGAAGCAATTAGCGAATGGTGGTTTTAGAAAATAAATATACAAAACAAATAGCAATATCTTTATCTGTTTTGAAAAAAAAGTAAGCCACGAAAAAAAACTTATTTTGCCTTCAGTATAGCAATGTAAAATGGGTACTCAAACTTACATCATCTCGCTGAAGCTTTTCTAAAATTTCATTGTCATCATCCTCAGGAACATTCTTCTCCTTTTTAATACACTTGGTAACGAATGCAGGGTCACAGTCGCTCAAACTTGTGCTCCCCCAACTTCCTGCAAGGCATGTCGTTCACTTTATTATTTCTACTGCTGTTTTGACTAATATAATTTATTATTGTAAAGTAAGTGTTTATTGGTTAACTGTAGTGACTCCAACATTGAAAAAAATCACAGATGGAATATAACTGACTGAACTATGTTCATCATGAGTACAACATACTACATCAACACAATTTGTTTCTAAGTTCTGGCAATTATTGTGTCAATGTAATACACTTTAATGATGTGAAACTGATGTAGATATCTGAAGCAAGTGAATTCAAATCATGATTCCCTTTCAGTGCATGTAAAATGTGACAGTGTTTTACCTATTTTCCTGAAGGTGTCTGCAGGACCCTGCTCAAAAATTGAGTGTGACTGAATAGTTTGTGGTCTTTCTCGTCGCTTGCGCTCTCTCTGTCTGTCTTCTCTTTCTCTTCTGTCCTTCTTCGGTGCAGTGCGGGCCTCCTCCTTTAACCTCCGCAAACAAAAGCGTTCAATGGACTGAGCATGAAATGAAACTTGACAAAACAGATGACATTAACAATCATTTCAATTTAAATACAGCATACTTACTCATCTTTGCTTTTGCGAATAGAATGGACGTTTGGCACAAATGTTTTCTGTGGGAGGGAAAACAACATTTGGTCTATGTATACTACAAATGCATATGTTACACAAGTATGGGGTATCCTGCTCAAGATCAATGCATTCCATTGTCTGCATATCAGAAACCATGGAGACCTGAATGATCTCTGTTCTTGTGTTTAAGTGTCCAAGAACTGGCTATTAAATTACACATATTAAACCAGAGAGATGTTTAAAATGACTTGACTTGGTGTATTTCACAAAGCTGAATATCTCAGTAAAGCTAAAAAGCCAATAATGAGTACTGTTCATTAAGAACATCTTAACCTTAACCTTAACTCTCCTCCTTTTAGACAGCCTTAACTTTTGGCTTAAGTTATCTGGCTAACTGAGAAATCTTACTTTGTGAAATACACTTGTGGTGTACAGAGAGCTAATTTGAGCTACATTTTTATGAGAGAGACTGAGTGACCTTTTTATATCCACCCAGTGTTAGGTCTCTGGAGCGCAGAGATGTGAGTCTGCCTGGAGGCGGAGGGTTCAGTAATGACCGTCCTGGCAGTCCTCTTCCCAAAGCGAAAGGTGGTCGTAAAGGTCCAGACTGGCTGCCCTCACTGGGCTCTGCCATACTGTAAAACAAGCACAAATTTAACAGGTTGTCAGCATAAAAATTGAACATGGAAATTTACCACTTTTCCTTGTTAGTTCATTTCCCTGTTCATATTAAGCATGATTCAGGATATCATACCATTTACAAGACAAAATTTCTGTTTACCTGTTATCTTTGATAATGGAATAGTAGCAAACTGTGTACTACACACTGTGTTGGTGTAGTGTAGTGGGTAACACCTCTGCCTCCTATGCTGTAGACTGGGGTTCAATCCCCTGCCTGGGCAGACGCTCTACACAATACCATTAAGAGTCCTTGGGCAAGACTCCTAATGCTACCTTTGCCTACCTGTGTAAAGTGATCAAACTGTAAGTCACTCTGGATAAAAGCATCTGCCAAACACCCTAAATGTATGAAGTGACAAAAACAAGATGAGCATTTTAGTGCCCAGGGGAAAGTTTTACCATGAAAGCCCTAGAATAGTGGTCACCTTCCCTGGTCCTGATCTACCTTTCTGTGGACTGTAGTTGAAACCACAATCTGCCACACCTGTTCCATCTAGTTAACATCTCCAGGAGTCCTTCATTGGCTGGATCAGATGCATGAGATTAGATATTTTCGGGTGGGGTGGTCAGCATATTATATGCAGGTAGGAACTAAACGTGTAAAGTAGATCTCCAGGAAGGTTAATGACAACTGCCCTAGAAAGTGCCTCCAGTAAGTTTACTCACTTACATAACGCTACAGAATCAGCGGTTGGTTTGAGACACGGTCACTTTTTTGTTTTTAACAGCGGTCGCAGTCGGCAGCCAGGACTAAAGAAAGGTCTTTCTGAAACAGTGAACTACTAGATTCCTTTCATGAACGGCGTAGTAAACCGTTTAAGGCTTCCCCGGTAATAACCATGCTAATCCGAAAAGTCTTAAAAACTTGACGCACAACACAAGACACACGAATAACAGCGAATGGGAACTTCGTGATGCAGTAATGTTACTGCTAATAATTATACTGATATTTCACACTGTATTTAGAAACATAGTTTGCAGGACTAAATACCGGACGCACAGAGGAGAAGCGTTTTGGTCAGTCAGCAATACAGTGTAGCATCAAATATTGTCATTCTTCTCATTTTTATTGTGGGATACTTAACCTAGCTAACAGTAGTCCTCAGCTACCAACATGTTGTAAACTTCTCTCGCTTCATTCTGGACAAGCATACAACCTTTACAAAAACGGACAATACTATAAGAAACTCATCTTTCTAAGGTGCTACATGGTAGGTTACTTAACGTTAGCTATATACAACCTTCTCGCCTCTGTATTAGCTACAGTCCTGTACTGCTGTCTTATAGTAATATAACTTTAGTTATACTATCCTGTTGTATCCTGCAACGTTAGTAAACTATAGTAATTGATCGAATTTACGATAAGATACATGTAGGAGTAATTCCGATGGTATTATTGATGTTTTTCATAAATCTAGGAACCAAACCTATAACAAAAATGTCGAGGGTAGATGCTTTGGAAGTTTGTCGCTTAAAATGGAGAGTTAGCTAGCTTATGTTGCTTTTGTCCCTCTAATACTGAGCAGGTTTAGTTACTTCAACAGACACTTGCCTCCATCTTGTTAGCAAAAGGCTACACCGGTTCATCTAAACAAACACACTGGCACTGAATTTCTGCGCTCTTTCACATATGAATAAAAAAAAACCCTGAAAAACAGAAACGGACTTATCAGCATTAGTTATCAGTGTCCTAAAAATTATGGCATTGCTGTTACGTACTTATCTGTTATTACATATTTCTTACAGTTGCCCTCTCAGCTTCCCCGTATCTGCATCACAGCACGTGACTCAGGATGGCGGTTCCTATTGGTTGATGCGTTACGACGCGGGCTTGTGGAATGAAAGTTACCAAAACAATCAGACAGCAGAAACTGAGAAAGTGTTGGTCGAAGTAACTGTAGTAGGAGTTTAGACCCGAGAATATTCAACCGAACGTTTCGAGTAAGCATGTTTATACTGAGCCCCTAAAGTGCGATTAAACAAAAATGCAACAGCGTTTTCTTGCAATATTTTTGCATTCCCTCAAACATTTTACGTTCCCTTGCAATTTTTTTAACCACGGCTCCCATATGTTCACAACAAATGTAGTAATGGTTGGTTTATTTATTTGTTTGTTGTTTGTTTGTATGTTTGTTTATCATTTCATTCAATTTTGGCCGGAGTAAGCCGTTGAAATCTGGGGTCAAAACAGTGTGGGTTATCTGGGTTATTTTAAATAGTCTGGGGTATTACCACCCTCAAATGTCTGGGCACTGAATTCCTTAGGACTGGGTTATTAATTATTAATATGTATAGGTTAAATCAGATGTAAATACATCAAAGAAAATATAGCCTAAAATTGCATAAAACTTTTTAAAATACTAAAAACTGTACAAAACCTATTATAGAAAATTACATAAAAAACAATACTCGGGCTTACTATGTTTTAAGATTAGACTTAAGAACATAATAAATAAAAATTTCAGGTTTTAATATTTATATTCTCGGTTTGTGTTACGCTCTGTTTTGAAATAATAATCAGATTTTCAGCGACTTACCCCACTGTTCACACGGTGAGTTATTCATTTTCCACCTGTACTTATTTTATACATGTTAAAAAAAAAAAAATCCCCTTAAAAAGCTCTTCTTGACATAACGATCTTTATCGCGATGCACCAACAGGTGGCAGTGTTTCTCCACTCTCCTCCGTGCGCATCAGTTTGGTTACACTGAGACGCTTTATACTCTGCACAGTTTCTCTGCTACATTAGATTATTTTAATGTTAATTTTGAAGACTTCTTTTATCCATTTGTAGAAACCAAACAGGATCGTTTACATATTGAACTGAAAAACAAATTGTGATATTTTATCTACAAAATTAGGTCTTTAAAATTAGGTAATTATTTATTCATTATTGATTGATGTATTTATTTTTTTGCCACATTTGAAAAATTGGTTGTGATATTCAACAGGTCCCTCAGCAGAAAAAGGCCTACTGAGTTACATTTATCCATTGTGAAATCTCAAAATGGTCCTTAAAGGGGCCTTCTGGCCTAAAATTTACTCTTTTGTATCATTTTAATTTTTTCGTATATCATCATCAATGTTTTCTCATTACACTCCACAGCATGCATTACTCAAATACATTTACAACTACTGGGAATCCCTGTGGTGTCAGGCAATCCTGACAGCTAGCCAAGCTACGTTAACAAATACAACCAAGCTAGCATTAATATACAAACCTCAACGCAAAAGAAGGTGGAAAACTGAAAGCAGTGACTTGTTAATTCACTTTGACCTGTAAGGCAAGATACTTAATGTTTTACCTTATTAGGTTCATCAGTTTAAATATACACTTATCCTAAAATTATTGCCTGCACCCATTCCAAAAAAGGAACATCCAAGAAAGGCCTAGTCCTTTATAAGCAAGGATTTAGACACGGTTTGCCACTTTGCCAAAAAATGCATCAGCAAATAATCCAACAACATTCCTCAACATTAACTTCAATCTCAAAGCACAATATCATTAATAGATTCAGAGAATATAGAGAAATTTGTGAGCATAAATGGCAAGGCCGAAAACCAGCTCAGTTCCCATGATCATCAATCCCTCAGACAGCACTGTATTCGACACCAACATGTTTCTCTGATGGACATCGCCACATGGACTCGGGAATACTTCAATAAACTGTCAATAAACAGTGTTTGTCACTGCACCCAGCAAAAGCCATATGTCAACAACATTGAGAAACGCCGCTGACTTCTCTGGACTCAAGCTCATCTGAAATGGACTGCTGCACAGAGGAAACATGTATTGTGCTGAGTCTTTCAGAGTGTTTGTGGAAATAATGGACGTAACTGAAATAATTTATGTTTTTAGTTCTCAGTCAATTAATAAGCTTTGTTAAAAGGAAAGGTAATGTAACAGTGGTAAACATGCTCTTGTCACAACTTTTTTTGGAACATGCTGCAGACATCACATTTGAAATTAATATATATTTACAAAAAAACAAAGTTTAGAAGGTTAAGCATCAAATAATGTATTTTTTACTGTTTTAATTTTAATACATGTCAAACACTGCTTTCTGTTTAGCATTCAGCGTTTCATATACTGTCTCAACGTTTTCAGAGATTTGTTACTCTGCATTTGTACAAAAACATAAAGAAAACAGCAGTTATCTCTCATTTAGCACAAAATGGATGCCAGAGAGTTTTTTTTTTTACAATTTCAGTCAAAGAATAATGTGTGGGAACAAGATAATTAAGTTGTGGCCACAACTTAGTCAGGTGTGGGAACGATATCATGCCTTATGAAGCTGTGGTCAAGGCTTAATTATCTAATTCCCACACCTTACTAAGTCGTGGCCACACATTAGGATCTCCTTCCCATGCCTTACTAAGTTGTGGCCACAATTTAATTATCTTGTTCCCATGCTTTACTAAGTTGTGGCCACACATTATTATTGTTTACATAGTATGTCACCAGCAGGGCTCTGTAGAAAGCCAAACTGAGGTACCTCATCTAGATCCTATAGTTTTAGACTTCTTGTCCTCCTCATTTATTTAGCCATGTCTGTGGTAAGGTCATTATTCTCCCGCTGTAGGATGTAAGTAAGCGTGTTTACAACAGTAACAATGTTTTGTTTTGTTTTGTTTTGTTTTGTTTTTTTTTGTTTTTTTTTGCATTTTGGCTGGGGTGTCCCTTTAAAATATACATGTTTTTTTAATATATGTTTATTTATTTGTTTTAGGACCAAAATTAATGTAGCCTGTTTTACACGTTTACACTTTCTGCGTCTACCACCAAACTCTTATAATCCCTTGTGAAAATGCTGATTATTACAGAATAAAACAGGAGGGAGGCGGAGTTTTACCAACACAATCGACACGCGGTGTGCTTTTTCACCACCTCTATTCGGACAAGCCCCGCCCTCCCTGCTCTAGGATTGGCTAGAGTTCAGAGTGTAGTGCTGCTTGCCAATCAAACCCCTATCGAAGGAGGGACTCTTTGTGGTAAGCACGGCTGCTTCGTATTGTTGTAGGACAGATCTACCAGTGAGGGCAGGGCTTGCTCTGAATACGGGTGGGAAAAGAGAAAAAAACAGTCTGTTCTCCCTGCATTCCGCGAGCAGCGTTAAAGCAGGGCTTTGCGGAGTGGAGAGGACCGCGATGCCTCGGTGCCTTTTCTTTTTGTCGCCTCTATCAGTTTGGAAACATAACGGGAATGTGTCCGAGTAGGAGTTACGTCTGAACACACTGCGTGTGTGTGTATGTGAGAAAGCGTGTGTTGTGACTCAGCGGTAGTTCCGTGAAGCCATGGCCGCTCAGCACGAGTCTTTGAGCGGCTATATGCAGCACTCGGACCCGGGCTCCAACAGCAGCGAGCGCAGCGCGGACTCTCCCCCGCCCGGCTCCGAGGACTCCGGGGGAGCTCCAGCACCAGCCGACCCCGAGTGGACGGAGGAGAGGTTCAGAGTGGACCGCAAAAAACTGGAGGTCATGTTACTAGGTAAAAGGTTTTTTAGCTAAAAGCTTTGAAAGAAACCTCTACAAACTTGGTTCTGTTATTGCGAGGGCAAAAAACTGGCTAAGCTAGCTAATGAGTTTACAGGTTTTGTAGCTTGTGGTAACGGTGTACTCAGTTACACGTACTAAGGTAGTATTTAGTGGGTTTGTGCTTTTTATGAGTGTTTGATTGGTAGTTCTTACTGTGAAGAAAAAATGTGAGGAAAAGTGACCTTTTTCTCGGTTTTATTTTAGTCCTTCACATTTTGTACCTAATTCTTTTTCCATGTTTAATTCCATTTCGTTCAGTAGGTGGACTGAGTTACTTTACTTCACACTTCTCACTTTCGAGCTTAATTAGTTTTTGTGTTGGAACAAAAACAATTACCAAACTTCACTTCCAATGGTGACAGAAGCTGGATGTACTCAGACGTTCCACTACGGTTCTATGGAGAACTCTGTTCGCTTCTTTTACTTCAGTCTCAGTCATTATTTCATTGTAGTAGCAGCACTTCTACAGGAGTGTGGGCTTAGCTACTCTAAACCTCTCTGGAAATAGCTGATTAAACTGTAGAGTTGAAAAGATGTGTCCGCAGACACAGTGTAGGCCTACTGAGTCACATTTTTCCATGATTAAATCTCAAAGTGATCCTTGAACTTCATGCAGATGTTCTTATGTTATTTTTTCCACTTTTCATTATTGTGTATTGAACTCTGTTATGTAGCTGGTTGAATTATGTTAATCAACATGTTTGGGTCGACACTTGTGAGAGAAATGAGAGAAATACTTGAGAATATGCATTAATTGACATCATACTTTCATTTTTTTATTAGTACAAATGTCATAATTCCTGATCAAATCTGCTCACATTTTCAGACATTTTCTTAAATTCTCTCGACTTTAAGCTATGTCTTTTCTAGCCTTTATGTCTTAGTACCATGTACAATGTGGCTGATACTCTTACGTGAACAGCTCTACTTTAATCTCTACAGTCTGTGCAACATTTCCTTGACTGTCAAAGTGTTTTTTATTGTTTAAAATCTGCTTGGGGAGACCTCGTGGTCAGTATTGTCCACAGAACTTTATCATTTTCTCCATGGCGCAAACTTAAAAGCATCAGAGTGAACTAGACCAGTAGGAGTCAGTGTTGAAACATCCAGTCCATGAAACAAAGTTATTTTGCTTTTGAATCCATTGTTGAGTTAAAAAACAGTTTAGAACAACCCAGTTGCAGAGAACTACAAAACAATAGCATGAAAATCCACACCATATGAAGTTCTTATTTGTGAACGATGAATCTCTGTATTTTGTCTCCCCCCCACTCTTATTAGATAAGAATACTGAACTTTAAAAGCTATGTGTTGGTGAATAGATCTATGAAGTGAAACATCACTGCAAACGTGTGCTTTTATTTCTTCTAAACCAGTGCTGACATTATAGGCTACACTTGAACACCCTGTGTATGTGTGTCAGTGTCATTTTTCCTACCGCATAGTATTAGGATTTAGATTGCTTTGTGTTGTGTTATTATTCCACAGTGTTTGCACATCATCTCAACTTTCTGTTGTTATTTTTTTTTATCATAGGGGTGGGCGATATGACAAGAGTATAATATTGTAATACTGCAGGATTTAAGAATGATGATGGATTGGTGCCACGTTTAAAAATACTATAAAAAATATGAATACAATGATTCAGCGTTTCACATACCATGCTGCACGACATATAATTAAATAGGTCTGATTATGCTGACTTCAATGAAAATTGCAGTTGTTTAGTGTTATTTAAGTGCGCGTGATATTCACAGTATGGTCAGAAACGACTTGTGGTGTAACTTATCACAATAACGAGAAATATCATCATATTGCCCACCCCTAAATTTTATATGAGAAAGTTGAGGGAGTAGAGAACAGAATGAAATCATTCTTCCCATTGCTTAGGCACAGTTGACCTACCTATCCAAATCTAATCTATATTCTTTCGTTTAGGTTAAATAAACAGTTAGCATTGCTGTAAGCTGATAAAATGGTAGTTGTTATTTGCACCAGCTCCGCATAAAATAGAAATTTAGAGAAGTGAGTTTCTTAAGCAACAGAACATCTGCGTGATCTTAAACATAATCAAGGCTGTGATCATCACAGCTGTGGTGTTCAGTTGCCTTTACACAACAAAGAAAGAAAAAATAAGGCAAAGATGCCCCAAACATTGTTTCAAATATATGTTTTTAATATTGCAATTTTTTTCTGACAGTGTTGTTCCAGCAGCTTAGAGTAATTGGGTAAATGTAAGTCATTGCTATTACTTAGCAATGAGTGGTCAATGGAATCATTCATATATGGTTTGCGTATTAGGTTCGGTACAGGTATTAGGTACAGATTATGTGGTCAGAAATAACTACTGTATAAAATGTGATGGTTATTTCAAGACCATGTGTTCCCTTTTGTACTCGTGACCTCGTGTGGATCTGCTGCTGTACACTTCATTCACACCAGCTGCTAGTTTCCTTTTAACAGGTAGCATTGAGGCATTGAGGCCACATCATCTCGGTGATCCTTACACTAAAGATCCTCTAGAAAAATCTCAGCAAGCTACACAGGAGGGCCTTCTGCACTGTGTGTATTTTCCTGCACTGCTTGTTGCTGGAATGTCATTAGAGGGCCACTGGAAGAGGAAGAGAAGAATGGGAGTAAATTACGAGCTCTGCCTGCCAAAGCAAATGTGACAGACCTCGAGTTGCTCAATCAGATAGATTTAGGACCAGTCATAAACTGGAAATCCAAACTTGAGCCGTAGCACATCCTTACAGGCAATACTGCGTGACCCAGTTAATGTGCCACACCAAGACTCATAGGGTAATGGATATATTGTCCTGTCTAGAACCCAAGATATATGAAAATTTTGCACGGACTGCACAATACGGACAAAATACTAGTATTGTGATTATACTGCTACATATTCCGAAAGCAGTACATATTTCAATACGTTGAAAGTGGTGCAGTGATGTAACATGGTTTATCGGGCTGTATATATATTTCTACTCTCACACACTCAGCAGGACTGTGCAAAAGAGTTGGGCATCTAACCAAACCAGGTGTTGATTGATGACTACAATTAATACTGGGCTTCCATGAGGAGAGGTTTGGTAGTTTGTATTGAAATGAACACTTACAGCCCAAGTACGTAGCTTTTTAAATTGTAATTTTCTCAATTGCCTAAAGCTTTTGCACAGTACAATCTATACAGTGTCATTTGCGGTGCCGTTTATCTTTTTTAAAAAATACCAAGTACAGTAATCAAAATATTTTATTTTTTCATAATTGCATCAACAGCCCACTTGATTTAACATAATAAAGCACTGATTAACCAAACCAGGTGTTGATTGATGACTACAATTAGTACTGGCTTGCCATGAAAAGAGGTTTGGTTATTTGTATTTATTCTAATATTAGAGTTTTTCTGAGCCAATAAACGCTTACTTGCCCAATCAAATAGCTTAAAAGGTTCCTTAAAAAAACTTTTGTTGGATTCCTGGAATATGTTCTTTCTTTAAAACAACTTCAGAAACACTCGTGTCAAGCTGTGCTTGCTCAGCATGAATGGGCACACTGTAAAATTAATTGGTTGTTATTTATAGTTATGATATTGTAGCCCTCTAGAATATCAGTATTGCGAAGGCCACTAGTCTACTGGATTCTGGTGTATATATATATATATATATATATATATATATATATATATATATATATATATATATATATATATATATATAATGTGTGTGTGTGTATATATATCTCATTTTAGGTAATGGGCCACATAACACTCAGTCCAATGTCAAGTGGGCCAATGCCTCCTCAGAAATGTGTTTTATTTAATCGTCATTTATCAGAAAGGTGCAGAAACTGACTCTGACAAATTGACACCTACACCTACAAAACAGATTAAATGATCAGACTAAAGTTAGTTGGTGCAACGTCAGATGCTAAGGATATGTCGTCTTCTACGCAAGGTTTTTTAGTAAACCTCAAAGAATGCCAACAATTGCACACATATGATTTTAAGATTAAGACTTATCTTCAAACAGAATGTTTTAAACACAAATGCAAGTAGTCATGTGTAAGTAATTTATTAAGATGTTGGCAGCTAAACTGAGAAAAGCCAAGTTAACTAGCTAATTGATTTTAAAATTAAAGTTTAATTAAAGAAATGAAAACAGCACCACCCTCCAGATGATCAGCATAGCATGTGTCTGAATTACATTTTGCAGTAACGCCTTTTCACATTTCTTAGTGTAATAATTGTGCCTAATTTACTCCCAGCGCGATTCACCCCTAGGTTTGCTCTAAGGAGCTTTTTAATCACTTGGTAAAAGAAGTAGTGCTTAGAGACAGTTGCTAAGCAGTAACAGTTTGAGTGGTGTGTCAAACATTATATGCAACCACAGTCCACAAGATGATTTTATTTTAGAACATGATTTCTAAATTGCCAGATGAGAATCTTAATCGGGCCAGTCCTGACCCACGAGCCATATGTTTGACACCCTGGTATTTACACTGTAAACTTGAATTAGCTTTACTTTACCAAATCATGCAAACTTATTGCCTCTAAAAGTTACTTAACAGGTTTAAGCCTGGATAACTTTATATATGAGTTATAGTTAATTCTGCTTTTATAGTGATTCACACTTATACAGCAAGTAAGACTAACTCAAACAGCCTGATAATTTTAAACAATTTGAAATAAGCTGGCAGTACTCTACTTTTTCCACTTGTGCTCACTCTTGAATTAGTTAGGTCAACTTGTGTAATGTGTTGGAATCAGTTGAAAGTCTGTTATTTTAAATGAATTGTTTCATACAGTAATGAGTAAATGACTCAAGAGTCACTCAGTGGCTTTATGTATCTTTGTCATTCTGTTTAGAAACTGCTTAGGGCAATGGAATTCACCTACTGATAGCACTGGTATTAAACCTGAAGACAAAACACCATCATAGTGAGAATAACAAA